CGGGCAGGCGGGGAATTGATGGCAAGGGAGGCACGAGGCAGGAACAGTGCCTACATTTGATGGCAAAAGTCAGTAAAGAGCGAGGAAAGAGATTTAAGCTGGTGAGAAGGACATACCCAATAAGGCAAGTGGGTTCAGGGATTGCAGGTGCATTGGGGACCCCGAGGCCCTTTCAATTGAAGCATTTTTCTTGAATAGTTCAGGTGATAGTAATGGTCTGCGGATGAAAGGAGGTGCTCATCAAGAGCTTAGTTCCGAGGAGACGATGCGCCTCCTTCCAGAATGTAGAAGTAAATAGGCTATCTCGATCGGATACGATGGATTCTGGAAGGCCATGCAAACGTACGATTTCCTGGTTATACTTCCAGGCCAGCTCCTTAGCCGTAATACGTACGTCTACAGGTATTAGGTGAACGAGAGAAGTTAATCTGCAAAGCACGACCCAAAGGTAGTCGTGTCCATCCTGCGTTTGAGGGAATGGACCGACGAAATCCATGGCAATGGACTGCCAAGGTTGAGTCGGTACTGGCAGACTGTGTAACTTTCCGCTCAGAAGGGTGCTCCTTGGTTTAGTGGCTTGGCACGTCGGGCACGTCGAGCAGAAAGCTTCCACATCCTTTCCGAGAGTCGGCCACCAGAAATAACGACGTACATATTCTGCAGTTCGGAAGGACCCCATATGACCGATGGTCGTGTGAGCCTGATCCATGGCAATCTCGGTGAGCCGGCGCCCGCGGTGAAGGGATTGAGGTATGCACAATACCTCCTCGTTCGACCGATTCCTCGTGTATAGTAACCGGTTTTGCAGGCGGAACGCGCTGTATTCACCGGGTTTGGCCAGAACCTTGCCAAACAGGGAGTCCTTGTCGTACCCAGTACGAATGCTGCTGATGAATCCATCGGATTCCTTAGCGAATTGCAGGAGAGACGGGCCAGACGCCAATGAGTCCGCGAGGCGCGGGTTCTCCGTCTTCTCCGGCGCCACAGCTTCAGAGTTGATTCCGGCGGCGGAGCCGAATTCGCCACGCGACGTGGCCCTCCACTGATCTCCGTCAGCCACCTCGTGTCCCGCATCCAGCGGAGTTCCTGACGAGCGTTCCGAAAGCTTGTTTGCCTCGTCCACCCTCGGGTGGACTAAATCCTTCGCCACGCGCGTCAGTGTGGCCCGCTTCCAGGACAACGGGTCCGCTACTTGCGCTTTCGCGCCTCTGGATGGTTGAGTCCGCTGCTGTGTCTGAGATTCGTTCCCATTCGGTATGTCAGCCTCGTGCGTCGCGGCGCGCATTGCGCGTACCTCCGCGAACCGGTTCCAGGGCAGATCTTCGCCCTCGGGATCCAGCCGCACATCGGCGTTGACGTACTCATGATCTGGGTGCCACTCATCCCACCTATCGGTGCTATAGTATCTCGAGAATGCAGTCGCAGACTGCATTCTCGAGACCCTTGACATACTCGATGGTATACTTAAACCTTTCCAGGAATGTCATCCACCGCGACTGGCGCGGGTTCAGCATGCGCTGGTTCGTCTTCTTGAAGAACTCTAGCGCCTTGTGGTCGGTGATCACCCGAATAGGGTATCCTAGCAGCTTATCTTCCCATTTGAGGAGCGCTGACAGAATTGCCAGCGTTTCCATTTCACGAATGGCGTAGTTCATCTGCGCCGATGTGAACTTCTTCGACATGAACCCAGCTGGGCGGCAAGTCTTCCACTCCGGGCCCTGGCCGTACATGGCCCCAACGCCAGACGTCGAGGCGTCGCAGACGACCCATATCGGGTCCGGTAGTGACGGATCTACAGGCTTCAAGATGGGCGTCTTGCACGCCATATGCTTGATCATATCGAAGCAGGTTTGATGAACCGGACGCCACACAAGTGTAGGGCTGCGGGTTAGCGAGGTGAGTGGTGCCGTGTACTGCGATACGTTCGGCATAAAGTGCTGAATATATTGTACAAGCCCCAGGAACCTCATCAAGTCCTGCGTATCCCTAGGAGGGCGCCAGTTGCGAATGCGCGACATCTTGTCGCCATCAGCGTGTAGGCCGTTGTCATCAATAACGTGCCCGAGACAGTCCATTCGCTGAGCGTACAGCTCGCACTTGTCTTTCTCGACGTAGAGATGGTTCTTCCGCAGTAGGTCAAAGACTATTCGTAAGTGCTTTCCATGCTCCTCGACGGTCTTACTGTAGATGAACATGTCGTCTAGGTACACGTGAATGAAGATCCCGATGTAATCTCGGAAGATATAGGTCATTAGCCGTTGGAACGTTGCTGGCGCGTTACAGTCGCCCTGCTGCATGACGTTACTCTCGAAGGTACCGTATACCGTTGAGAAGCCGGTCTTCCCCACATCTTCCGGAACTACCCTAACTTGTTCGTACGCATTACTTAGGTCGATCTTCGACCGTATTGCCCCGCGCGCAACATCCATGCGGATCTGGTCCTGATCTGGCAAGGGTGTTACGTCCCTGACGGTATTGTCGTTTCGCTGCCTACAGTCTATGACCGTTCGTAGCTTACCGCTTTTCTTAGGGATGCAGAGCATGGGCGCGGCCTGTTCAACAGGCCGAGATACCCACCATTCGGCATGTTCGTAGTGCTTAATCTTCTCAAGCAACTGCGGCTTGACCGATTCAGCGCAACGGGGTAGATGGTAACGATACCGCTTTGCTTCGTCGATCAGCGGGATCCTATGATTGATTTCCCGCAGAGGTGGGAGTTCACGAGGTACGCCTCCCACCATGTCAGCGTACTCGTTGTACCAATACTCACTCAGTTTGGATCGTTCTTCGGGACTGAGCTTCAGCTCAGGTTCATCGGGTTCCTCCTTCGTGCGCATATATGCGTGTAATGGTACGTCTTGCGATAGCTTGTCCGAGAGTCTCTCGCTTAGGGCCGGTTCCGCTATCATAGAGTCGGCCCTTCCAGGCGGCGACTCCCGTCAACCGGAGGTTGACGGCCCAACACCGTTCTCAGCGGTTTGGGATGCATTTATCTTGAATGCTAGCGGACGGCTCGAGGTCGCTCGACTAAAGGTACGCTTCCCAGAAGCGTGTGAGGTCTTCCCTTCTTTCTCAGCGCTTCCTACCGTTCGGACGGGTGCCTTCGGATCGTACGCTGGGTGTGTCATTGTTACCCGCTCATTCAGTATGTCATCTATTAACTGATGATCCTTAGGTGGCGTCTTGGACAGCATTGCCGCGGGGAGGATGTTTTCCCCGGTCTCTATCGCGGTAGGCATCGGGAATGGCGCTTTCAACTCCTCCGCCTCAGAGCGCGTCAGCGCCTTCAGCTCGTAACCGTCAAACGCGATGACACCGCGCTTGAAATCCAGCATGACACCGTGGTCATGCATGAACGGTGTGCCCAGGATCATGTCGTAGCCAGCGGCGTTGACGATGTCCGAGTACATTGTTGGGATGGTCACATCCCCCAATGTCAGTGAGTGCGTGGCCCCCCAGCTAACCTTGCTTTTGCTGCCGACACACCCCAGTTGCAGGGTGAACGGTGGGTCCAGCGCTACTGCCTTGACCTTAGCCGCAGTCGCCAGTGTCGGCGTGATCGAGTCGCAAGTGCTACCGGTGTCGAAGAGAATCAACGCTTGAACGCCATTGACCTCGCCGTAAGTCGTCATGCACATCATGGCATTTGGGCTAGGCTTCGGCCGTTGTACTGACTGTGCGTTCTTAGGTCTTATGTTATTCTGCACCGGTGACCGCGCAACATTGCGGGCCATAAACTGCGCCTCGCGCCGTACTCGGTACGGGTTCCGCGGCGAAACGTCGATAGTGTGCTCGTCGTCTGAAGATTCATCTTCAGATTCACTGTCGAGCTCCTCCTCACTCGTGTCGGACACGGACTCCAGCGCAGGTAAGCTGCAATCAGAGTCGTAGTCCAGACCTATGTACTCATCATCCGACTCAGGTACTTCTTCCATTGTGACGCCGAGGCGCGCGCTCGTTGACGGCGGCTCATCGCCACTATCGGCGTCACTATCCGTTTCATCCGAGGATACCTCATCCGACGACGCATCATCGATGGGTACCGCGGTGCTCAACGGGTTGGTACTGTACCCGCGCAGCCCCCAGGGCAGCGCCTCCTCCCGGCTCCAAGATGTACCGATCGCATCCGTGACCTCGCTTTCGGTCACATCTGTGGCAATCGCACATACTTGGCTATCCAGCTCGTGCGCGACGCGTACCTCGTCAAGCCCGAGGTGCTCCTCGATTAGCGCATCACGGTGTACTAGCATGATCTGGAACTTGTGTTCCGCAGTAGCTAGGCCTTCCTGGGCTTCCCAGGTGCGTGTACGAGCACCATCGAGTTGCTCCGCAAGCTCACCGTTCCGCCTTTCCAACAGGTCCCTGTCGTGACGGGCAAGCCGCAACTGGTCCTCCAGGCGGATAACCCTGTCCCGCATGCGTTCCAACCTGCCGGAGTACTCCCTTACCACGCGATTGTGCTCGCGCGTGGTCTGCAGCGCATGGCGCCGACGATGGTACGTTTCAAGTTCCATACTGTATAACTCAGGTGCGGCTTTCGACGCGTTGGGCCGTTGTCCTACACGCGGCAGCGGCCACATGCCAGTTATGTACGAAGGGCGAAGATCCTCTTCTTCGTCTTCCGTGCATTCCATTGGCGATGCCGGGCGAAGCACCGCGCGCATCGCGTGCATGTGGTGTACTATCATACCGCCGTCTTCGCTGTCACTGTCCAGCTGGTCTATTTCCTCATCTGAGTCATATTGTGAGTTCGGAAGATCGTCTTCCTCGTTCACGTATTCTTCGATAACTTCCTCATAGGTGCTTTCTTCGTCACTAGACGTATGCCCAGGTGTGTCTTCAGTTGCCTCATCCCTGCCTGCATCACTGCCCACCGTCTCGTCCTGTTCGAGAACGATGTTTGCCATGAGGCGTTTACTGCCGTCCGCCGTAGGGCATTCGGACTTGTAATGTCCCAATTGCTGGCAATTGTGGCAGCGTATGCCGCTCTTGTCTGACTTAGGGCGAGGCGCAGCGCTAACGGCGCCGCCGGACGCGTTCCTGGCCTGTTCATAGCTCGATTTGGGCACTCGGTATACTGTACGACTGATCAGGCGTCGGCCTGCTTGGTTCGTACCTCCTTTCGTCTTCTCGCTGCTCCCGGCTGATTCGTTCGAAGCAGGCGCGGTGGTAGCGGTCGCGGTCTTCCCCTTCGACTGGGAAGGTTCGGCCGCAATTTCTTTGTACAGGGTGTCGGCATACTTGCTCGACGCCTCATACAGCACCGCCTCATTCTTGAGTACTTCGAATCTAGTGAGCTCAGCTGACAGTTTCAGATCACGAAGCAGGTGCTTGGTGATCACCATCGGTATCCCACGCAAGAACTTCTTGTTGAGCTCGTACTGAGTGGGGTACTGAGGCAGCAGTCGTGCGTAGTGCGTTAGCGAGGATGCGAACTGGGACACGCCGGTGTCCGCAGCATATTTGACCCGTGAGTAGTTAGCTTGGGGCGTGTGTACATGCGCAGGGCTGATGAATTGTTTGAATAGCTCGCACATCAGGGTGACCATGGTCCATCGGACCATGTCATCCTGGAGAACCTCATACTCGTACCACGACCGCGCCGGTCCATGCAGCGTTTGCCCAGTGATCAAGACCTGGTCCTGCACGTACTCGGGGCCCGATATGCGCCCGAAGAACAGATAGGTGAGGAGATCCTTCAGGAAGGAGTAGAACTTCTCCGGATCGTCTTCACCGCTGTACTTGGCGTTAAGCGGCAACTTAACCCCTTTCGCAGCTGGTGTATCGTTGGCGTGGCCAATCCAGCGGCGAACGAGCGTCGCTATCGAAGCAAGGTGTGCATTTATGAAACGTGAGTACCCTGCTTCTACACCATCCTCATCATCTTCTACGCCATCCTGCGCCCGAACTGTCAAGTTCGGCCGGTGACTGACACGAAATGCTGACCTATCTGCTTCGACAGGTGCAGCCGTTTCTTCTTCGGGCAAGCGATTCGGCGCTTGCTGGGGCGGGAAGGACACTTGGCGCTCACCGCGAGGTACGTGGTGACTATATGCGTCGTTCGGAGCGCTACTGAACACGTCCATTGCAGCAGGTTTGCTCTTACTATACCTAGCATAATACGACCCCATGTGGCAGCGGTCTAGCGTATGTTACGATCAATGACGGGCGTATATGTGCCGTATCAAGTGAATAATGACCGGTAATCACCGCCAGGCCCACGGCGCTATATCTATCGAGCGCCAGGCTCAACCCAAAGTAAGCCCCCGCAACAAACACCACCCTGTATTTTCCCAACACATTTCGCCAGCAGTCGAAGTCCGCAGCTCGGCTGACCCGGCGTTTCAACAATGTACCAGACAAGTCATGTCTCCCTAGCACCGGACTGGTCTAGACCCCCCTCACCGGGCTTGAAAGCTTCGTAGACCCACATCATTGTCAATACGACAGTGCACAACTGTTTACACTACTTGAATGCATGAGAAGTGTCTTAGAGACGCTCTATATACCCCGGACTCTGACGTTCGAAAGAAGCGATCACAATACAACGATTATTCGATACTACACTAACTTAAATGGCAATGACATGCCGTTCGCACCAACCAGGTGCATAGAATATCCAGTCTCCGAGGAAATCCCACGCGTCGAGCGAGGTCAGGCTTGTGCTGCTTCTCTTCTGTCGCCAGTGTCAAGACCGGCGGCACGGCGCCGGTACTCGGACCGTTGGAACCTTTCTCCCAGAAACACGGGGAGAACACCTTTGCGCCTCGCCAGTAACGACGTCGGTTCAACCTTTTGCATACCCCGCATCGCACCAGGGGGAGAGTGTTCAGCTGAGGGGTGCGCGCTGCGTGTCCGTTTGCGTCTACAGGACAACCGGGCATTATTCGGCGCTCCCAGATCAAGACATCTGGGACGGATTGCCCCGAGGGCCATCCGAAAAGATCGAGCGGCTTGGAATCCTCGATGCGCCAAGCGATCCGCCCTGGAACTCGCGCGGCGCAAGACAAGGCGGCCTAAACGTCCTGTTAGCTACGGCATCTGCATTGGCGATAACCAGCGACATACAGGGCGACGTGTTCACTCCGACGGTGAGTCTGGCACTGGCGCCGTGTGCTTCGGGTCCGGCGGTGGAACCGGTGACGACGTCGAGGTTCGAAGCTTCTCGACGAGCAGGGTCTGCCTGAAACGGGAGCGGGATCGCCTGCTCGTGTCGTTCCGTAAATAGTCGGAGATCGACATCCCAGGAAGGTGTGTAAATTGTGGACAGAGCCTGAGGATATGTTAATGTTGCACTGGAGCCGAACCGACGGTCTACGCACTTGCTCAACCAAAAGAAGTTCCCACACCGACTGCATCTTCCTCGCAGGAACGCCTGAAGATTCCAGCGGAAGAGCCAGAAGGACATCCGGCCCCGAGAGCAGAGGTGCAACGAAATTGCCGCCGATGACTGGGGATCTCCTTGGTAAAGGGCCTCAATCTCAGAGCGCAGCAACGAAGAAGTGACCACAGCGTCCGTAGAGCCCGGACCGCACGCCTGCATGCGCACTGGTCCATGTTAGGGTTTGGGGAGGAGACGGTATGCGGCACAGCGAAGTCCAAGGAGGTAGGGAAAGCTCTCAACAAGGGGCCGCGAGTCAAAGAATTTCCGTGACGTGTGACAATAACTGACCGTGAGACCGTTTTGTCACGCTTTTGTAGGACCGGCGTCAGGCTTGTATGAACAACGTTCACGGACGTCATAATTTGTTTTATAGCTCACCGGCTGGCTTATCGATATAACAGTTTCCTTTTGCTATCGCCAAATCTTAAGCTTTGCCAACGACCTGGCGATTAGACACCGGCAGTGAGGGTCTTTTTTTAAGGATAAAAGAGCCGCGCCGAAGGCGCCGACTACCAGTTTTGAGTACCTACTAGCACGGGGCTCGAAACTGGTCTTTACTATTAGCGCAGTGAGGGTCTTCTTTGCGAATGGCACCAGATAAAGTATCCCCATCTCGGCATGGCTTTGGCTCTGCGAAACGGAGTCTGTCGCAGCATCCGGCGGAGACGTTGTCATCGCCTGCGGCGATGAGTCCCTTATCAGGCTCGCTTGAGTACCGTCAAAAAAATACTTGCCCCAAGACAGACCATCACCGCCATCGACAGGCACTTAATACTTCCTGAAGTTATAACACGCTTGCGCAGACTTTATCCGGTCAGGCATATATCGTAGACGGCGGATAACGTGTGGGGTCTCTGACACCTGCGATAACGACGGCTAAAGGATCGCCGCGAAAGCGCAGAGGTTAAGCGCATTGGCGAACCAAAACAGAAAGATGATCCGGAACACGCGCGGCGATACTATGCGCCAGAGGACCAGTCTGCTGATCACCAGCAGTTCCACCCCTATATCATCAAATCACGGCGGGGCTCACTCGCCAGGCTTCAAGGCGGTAGCAGCCGGAGATCGCCAGATCTGGTGCTAAAGTTTCCCGTCCGGTGCTCAGGCGAGTCCACAATCGCTGCGGCGTGCAATCTGCCAATGACCATGCGCGGGGGTGGAGAGGCAACACTCGATCCCATGGCGATGCCTGATTCGCCGGCGGCGCTCTGTAAATGAACATGAGTTTCACCAGAGTGACAGCTCGTCGAGCCGGCAGACCTTACTCGTATCGCCCAAAAGACCGTGCGGTGGTGAGCCTACAAGCACCCATCACAATCATCATTAGGCAAACTCGCCTTCTCTTGCATCTGCAACAGGCTATTGGGGGTCCGACTATTGGCAAATAAGACCCATCCAAGCTAACATATATAGGTGATTCACGTTATAAGACATTAAATAATGCCGGCCAATGCCGGTGACGTTGCATCTGTATCATCGGCTGGCGAATAGCCTGTTCACAATTCGGACTACAAGCCAGAGATTTTGAATACAGCTGAATCCCCCAAATTAACGCAGCATGGCGCTCAGCCGAATCCTCTGAGCTCCCGTAGCCAACCGTCCCGGTGAATTCAGGATGGCATCCCAGTTGCTGTCATCTGCCCACCCCATCACCGTCTCAGGAGGAACGCACAGATGAATACGTTCAAGGCTGGAACACAGATATCCATAGCCAGGGAGTGGACTGTTGAGGCTTGAGGCAAGAGCCCGCAGGTGGTCCGCTGTCACGCATCCCTCGATGTTCGGCTTGAACTCCGCGTCCGGATGTAGTGCCGGACTGTCAAGGTGCAGTCCCTCGATAAAGTCGAACCAATACAAGACACACTGATATGCCGTGGAAGAATCAGGCACCCAGCTGTCTTTAGCGATGACAAGCTCCTCCGCAGCCAGTGTCCATGTCGTCGGAATAGCAAACAGCACGAAGCCTAGAGTATCGTATAGCGCGTGAGGATACTGACTGTTGAAGTCCCGCTCGCGGTCATACGTAGAGAACTGCCCGTCTCTGAAGGTGAGGGATCGCCGCACCGCGATCTTGCTGTCTAGCTCGTCCGTCCTTTCCCAGTCACGACCCACAGGGTCCTGCAACACCGGCCTCAGCTCTTGCAGCGATTCGGCCATAGTCAAGCTGACGAGCTCTGGGAACTTCGCTGCCGCTGGCTCGTGGGTGTTCGCAGAGAGATCAATGCGGACATCGAGCCCAATCACCGCCGCAGAGTTCCAACAGCGTAGGGTAGCTGAATCGCCAATTTCCACCCCATGATATGGCAATGTTGCGTCGTGGATTGTCGTGGTCCGGTGGGGTTCCTCGACACTCTTGGCAAAATTCTGCGTCCACCTCCATTCGCCGGGAAAGCGCTCCTCCGGGGCATACTCCGAAGGCCAGAAAGGTACTTCGTATACCCCAGGATGCTTTGCAGTAAAGCACTTTCGCCAGCTCTCGACGGGCTCGAGATGCAGGTCAAGTGCAGAGGGCAACACCATCCAACCAAGCAGGGTGGCCGCGCAAGTGCGATGAGTGCACAGTCGGAAGTACCGAAGTCTGGGAAATGTGATGTTGCCTTGGAGCTCCGCGCGAAAGCCTGCAGCGATGTCGATGGTCAAAAACTCAATCGCGCCGGCGCACGCGGAAAGAGCGAGTGATAGCGACGCCCCAAAGACCACTTTGGCGTGGGGGCCTTGGTGGAGGTACAGCGAGGTTAGGGTCCTCGAGTAGTAAAATTTATGGAAGCAAGAAGCGCGGCTGGTAAGCAGGCCGACGCTCTCGATCGCAGCCATGAGCCGGCGTAAACCTTCCGCGACGTGAAGCGGGTCTGGGTCCATAGCCTCCACATCAACGTGCCGTAAATGACTATTGGCGCGTCCTCTGGTGTCGTGGAGAAATAGCCCCACATCGGACGTCAGAGTTCCATCACCTGGCCACGGTAGTCTGAGCTTGACGCGCTCCAGACTAGAGTAGAAGGGCAAGATGCCGCGGAGGACGCAAGTGCACACGTCCAAGGCTATGAGACTGCGCGCTCCGTATTGTATGACCTCCCGGCCGTTCGCGATGATACGGTGTTCCCCAGAAAGGCGCGCAATGCCGGGGTACAGGGTGTTATCCAGTTGCCAGATATGAGAATTATGCTCTAGTAGCACGGCGCGTAACCTTCTCGAGACCAGCGATGCGCTATGGGCAGGTGAAGGAAGGTGAGGCGGAAGTACTTTGCCAGAGTCTGAACGTATACAAATTGGTCGGCTAAAATCCCATCGTGTGCCGTTGCAGCATGGAGATACAGAGAATGGAACAGAACCAGATTGCGACGCCTCGTATCGCTTGACGTCGGCATACGGTGCTTGTGCCGCGAAGTGCTCGTTTTGCCAAGTGATCTGAGCACAGTATATAATCAACGAGATTAGCTCAACTGGTAGCCTGTCGAATCTCAGAATGGGCGGGGTCATACCAGACATCGGTGGTGACCGGAAAGTTCAACATGCAACGGATGCCTGACATCAAAGGTCTTACCTAGCGAATCAGGGGGGTTCCCACGAGGCACATAACACTATGACCGATCTATCCTGCTTCGATCAACTGAGGACTGCACCTCAATAAAGAACAACACATCTCGTATGGATCATGGCGCCCTTACAATTACCAGTCATCCTTGCAAAACCGGTATTGATGACCGATGGCAGGGAGAAACGCGACAGTCGAACTCGCGACTATGGCGGTCCAAACGCGTCAAAATCGAATCAGATTTAGGATGCGGTTTTGACTTACTTACCATTTACGCGAAGTCGCGGCGAGCCCGCCTTCCCCGAGCCTCCCGCGCTTCCTCCCGCCCGTCCCGCCCACCCCTTTGGCCCTATCGCGTGCTGTACGTGCTAGGCTGTCGAACGAAGCTCGTCAAGGCGCAGAAGGGAGGGGGAGGAGGGACAGGGAGCGGCGTCGGCGCGGCGGCCAGCGCCGCGTGTTCGGCTGACGCGGCCACGTGTTTTGCCGCGTGTGTCGCAAAGCGCGTCGCGCCCGCTCGTCCTCCTCGTTGGCACGCTAGTATCTCGTACCGGACTCCCGATGCTATACGTGCTTTCATGAGCCTTGGAGGCAAAGAGTGTGATGCTTTCGACAACTGGCCATATATTGACAGATTGATTGTGGCCGTACAGAATCTCACTGAACGCACTCATGCGGACCTGGCCCGTGTCAGCGGCGAGAAGTCGAGGCATGGTAAATCAGACTGACAATTCTCGAGGGTCTATATACCTCGTCATCGTCGTCATGCTCAGGACTCCCTATCATCGCCTGAAGAGCGGCCCTGCATACGGGTGCATGCTCGGCATAGTAGTCCGCCAGCTTATCAGCGCTGAAACTGTCAATTATATGCCAGCTTGCCTCGTGGTCCTTCGATAGGGAACCTTTCGGACAGCCGGCCTTGCTTCGTAGTACAGTCTCGGGTCCCGTCTCGCCTGGCGGCTCAAGCGCTCACGGCTACTCGTGGGTTGATCATTTGCTCCTGGGAGCAATGTACTGTTAAGATTGATGCGGAAAACGAGACGAGAGGCTCTCACACGCTGCCCCCTACTCTTCGCTCGTGGCCCCGTCTGGTGTCTGGCGTTGGTGTCTGGCGTCTGGTGTCTCGCAAGCCCCTAGCACCAGACCAACCTAATCTTTCGCCGGGGCTCCCTTTCTTTGATGATGCACGGATCGTCTTTATCTTAACCATAGCAACTTCATACTGTCTTAGAATTGCATCTATGTATACTGTAAGCATCACGTCAAGGCGCACATAGTCTCCTCGGCTAGAGTCATTTTCCAATGTTCAAACACAGAAGCGCAGAGTACTTATACATGGAACCTAAATAGCTGGTTCCCGAACAGCACGACCTGAGACACAAGGGTCAGACATGCACGCTGGATGAAAAGGTGCTGATATACCTGCCGCATCAACGAGGTGGCTTGGATATGGGATTACGTCGGCCTCCTCGAGCCTGCGAAGAAAGCCCACGCGTCGAGCGAAGTCCGGCTTGCATTCCTTCACCTGCTCCGCTGTCAAATTGGGAGGCACTGCGCCGGTACACGAACCATTGCAGCCTTTCTCCCAGTAACAGGGCAAGCATGCCTTCTTCCCTCGCCAATAACAATGTCGATCGAGTCTCGCACATACGCGGCATCGTACCTGGTGAAGGTCTGAGAGTGAGCGGGCTACTGCTTACTCATATGCCTGTGCGACCTGCCTGAAACTGGATTGCATGTCCACTTGTATCCACGAGACATCCATGCATGGCTGGGTGCTCCCATATCAAAGCCTCTGGGATGGGTCGCCCCCGAGGCCATGTTAAGAGCTCCTCGAGAAGCTTGTTGTGGTCTGTGATGCGCCAAGAAATCTCCGCGTTGAAGCCAGGAGGGGCGAGCCAAGGCGACACAAATGTCCTTCGAGCTACGACAGTTGCGTCCCCCGCCATCGACGACATTGCAGATCGCCGGCTTGCGGCGGGAGCAAGCTCTACAGGAGGCGAACTCGGAGACGCCCAGCCGTGCCGCTCCGCAGATTTACGCAAAACACCGCAGTGAATGTCATGCCGGCGCAATGTTTGACCGCTTATGAGCGCATCTGGGCGCGGTTTAGTCGAGTATAAACCAGATTATCGACTCTTGATTTACCGACGGCGAGCCACCACTGCAAAGGACCGAGCTCATCCTGCTCGAGCTCACTATGGGATTCACGTTGAGAGCTTATAAGCGCATCCCAAAGCATACGCATTCTATCCGTTGAACTGATGTCTTGCGTGTCGTTCATGAGCCTCCGAATGAGGTCGATGTCCCGAGATTGAGTATAAGTTATTAATGCAGTCTAAGCGTATGTTATTATTATGATCCTGTGGCCACACCAAAAGCCCACGCACCTGCTCGACCACAAGATATTCACATAGAGTCTGCAACTGCGACACCGCGATACCTGAGGTACCAGCAGAAAGAACGAATACGACGTCTAAAGCCTCGCGCAAGCGGAGCGATGAGACTGCCGCGGGTGACTCCGCGTGTTCGCGGTAAAAGCCCGATAGCTCAGTCCTAAGCGAGGAAGGGGTGACTAAGTCACTGAGAGAGCCCAAGCCACACGCCGTATGAGCACACTGGTCGAGGACGGCGGTCGTTTCAGAGATAGGATTTGTAATGAGGGGGTCCATGACGGTACGGGGCAAGTTCGACGGGGCTGTCACGAGGAACTCACATGTGAGTGAGACAATAGCCCGGCGATCCTAATCCGATGACCATCGCCGCTATGTTGATCCGATTTCGCCGTTGCGGGCTGACTCGGTTCCTTCATCAGCCGGCATAGCAACTGCGCACCCCGTGGCCCGAGTCGTACAGCTTCGAACGCTTTGAATCGCAGACCCGCAGCCAAGCCCCGTAATTCGATGATCTCAGCGGACGTGCACGGTGACCGACATCACCCGACCAGGACACAACGCGTTCTTCAGTGCTCGGCAGGGTACAGATCTCGGGTCGACCTAGCTTGGTCACCGCTGGTCACACCTTTCCTTCGCCCACGCTGTCTCGAAGGGCTAGACCTTCGACGGAGCCGCACTCTCCTGAAAGTGATGCAAAGGCACTCGCCCGAACGCCGTTGGTGAATGGAATGGTGACATCGCTCCGACGGGATCTCTTTTGAAAGTCATGGTCAAGCTGGTTCCCCGGCGGTTCATGCCGCTTTATGACGACGCTCAACGGGACGTGTTCAACGCGGCAGAAGGCCTGTTTACAGGATTTCATGCTATCACCTCGTCATCTCTACCAAGGATAGGGCGACTGAACAGCAAGAGCCGTCCGTAATGGCTTGAGGCAGTGCTCGAATAATGTTTTCCAGTGGCTCTCGTGGACCGTGTACCGCTCAAGATCTCGCCTTTTAAGAATGACATATCAAGAATCCCGGCTTCATGGGGATCCGAAATTGAATCCTGACATTCGGACTAAACGTATTACAGGACCGTTGAAATCGCACTTCAGCATCACTCTCGAAGCTTCTTCGCTGGAGGTACTTCGTCGATGGAAGTTGAGCGACCGCGACGTCTGCGTGTTGAAGTCACGGACGTCGCAGGTGTACCAGCGGTCGGTGCAGCTTGACCGTGTTCACCGAACTCCTGAGGACGGGTATCTCTTGCAGGCCCTTTACCCTTACCAGATGGCCTCTCTAAGAACCCCTCCCCCTTAACATCTGTGGGATGGTCGAAGCGTACAGGACCACCAGAGGGGTCGACGAATAGCTCTCGCCGGATGGGACGGCCGGTCCGTGTGTGTGAGTCGGGCAACGATGTGCGGGACCAATCATCGTCACCTGTCCTCGGCGAGCGAGTATAATTGTAGTCGCCGACGCGAATAGTCACTGGCGGCTGAGGCACGGTCGCTTGCCGACGTCGCCACTCAGGCAACGTCATCTCGACTCCTTGCGCACGGGCTAAGGCTGTCATGGTCGGGTTCGTTGCCACCCGTGCGACCAGAAAGTCGATCCGAGACAGTTCAATTAACTCGCTCTCATTCGTAGCCAAGAGTTCTCGCAGGAGCGCCAAGTTCTCTGCCTCCCGTCTCACGTTTACTGAGAGCGCGAGATAAACGGCAGCGTCAAGACCAGAGAGTTGATCAGCGTACGGCGGCTCAGGAACGTCCCGGCCTCGAAGGTGATTCAGCCAATGATCGAAATGTTCTAAATTGCCCATATAATGGATGCTGTATCCGAGAGATAGTGGTTCACCACGTACCAGAATTCTGCAAACCAGCCCGCGAAAACGGTTCGGGCATATTGACGGATACGGAGAACGGGGGAGAGAAGCTCGTATGGTCCATCGTATACGCGAGGCGCTCGATCTCGGGTACACGCAATTGAGCGCCATCAAGAGCATAGTCGTCGGGGAGAGCTTCTGGGGCGCTATCTTCACCCGTGACAGGGGCGGAGGCGCTCGAAGCTGCAATGCCTGTCAACGAGAGGGGATTGAAACTTGATAAAAACGTACCCATGTCTCCCATTTCCTCGTCAGTCTCAACATCTTCGTCACCGATCGCAGGGCCCACTGGCGGGAAGGTGAGTCGATTTCCGTCGCCCTCGTCGCTCTCGCCGTCAGACAGGGTGCCGTCATCAGACGAATCAGGCACTTCGCCGTCTATTTCGCCTTCAGACTCGTTGTCGGATATGATTATAGGCGTCAGGTTAGAGCTCATCTGCACGGAAGTAGCGGAATCTCGTGTGGAGCGATCTCGCCGGATAGTAATACGAATGTCGAGGTGGATGTTCGGAGCTAAGGACCGTCGTTCAGAGGTCGCCCTCGGTGGGCGCTACGCCAGAAGCGCGAGGCATCAATTCTCAGAGACTAACGCCGGCGCTGAACTTCGCCTGCACGCCGTCACGCCCTTTGTCTGGTTCGCCCATCATGTCTGCCGGCCCAACGCCAGTGCTCCCGCCTCAGGACATGGAACACGCTAGCGCCGCAGAACGACATGCCCGCGCTGTGTCCGGATTCGGCTCCATGAGCGACGCAGTCGTCGCTGCATTTCTAGCCACCGAACTTAACCAGTTCCTCGACGACGACCCAGAGTCGTCCGGCGTTATCTCTCTTCTGAGAGTACACTCAGCGCTGGAAGATCTGCGCGCAATTCTACTGGGTTCTTCGCGGATGAATAAGACTGCATTGCGTTCTATCTGGGGCTTGTTGCAACAGGAGATGGTGTGCATAGTCTGAACACCGCTCTTGCTACTTTACTGATATGGTCTCAGAATATTGCTATTGCACGTAATAAGGCATCCGAAGTCAAGCCTCTTCGCAAGATGTTTCTTCAGATCAACAATGAAGGCTACAACACGGAACAGGAGCAATGGGATATGGGGTTTGTGCGGGAAGCTCTGGCGAAGGGTTGGCCCCGCAAGCAGGCGCTCCCTGTCAAGCTTGGCGCGAGCAAGTTGGGACCCCTACGATGGTGGTACGCGTCATGTGATTCAATGTTCCTCATCTACTGCTGGCGAACGTGACTGATGCGCTTGTACAGGGGCGTTCACCAGCGGTTCCCCGCTTACTCGCCAGGACATCTACAACGGTGCCGTCAAGAGATTCCAAGAATCACACGATCGTCGCGCGCAAGCCGCTCAGTCATCACGTACCGAAGCGACGAACGCCAGTCAAGTATCTGGAAGCAGTCGGCCTGTCCGAAAGGCAGCGAGCGCCTCTATCGCTGCCAACAACGACATCAAGGTCAAGGACAACAACGCCTTGGATCCGACGTACTTTCCTCCCGAGGTTGTGGCCAAGACGAACGAGCAGAAGATGAGCACACCTCCCCCGGTCCCCGAAGTGACGCCCACTGCGGGGCCAGCACCTGCTGGGAATGCAACATCCCGGAAGGCTCGACCGGCACCATCGCCTTGGCTCCCTCCAAACGGCTTCTCCGCAGATCTGAAATGGCAGGTCAAAGACTATAACCGCCTTTACACCGAGACCCTGGAATGGCCTGCGGATCAACCCATACCCGACACTCAAGTCTGGGAGCATCCCAAAGCGCACGGTTGTCCTGTCGATGAGACAACTGGTCAAGCGGTGCAATATGAGGTACGCTGAGTTCGCAACGTTACATGTCTGATCTCTGATCTTTATTACTCCACTTCAGGTGCCGTGTACAACCTGCACGAAGTATGAGCGCAACTGTATCTGGCGAGGCTCGAAAGCCTGTCTCCCATGCTTCTGGGAGAAAGGCAGCAGAGGCCCGTGCAAAGGAGGGACACCGCCAACGAAGACGCCGGAAGAACAGAAGTTCTGTAAACCAGACTACGCGCGTCGGAAAGCTTATTTCGACGATCTAGCAAGCAAAGGCAAGATCCAATACCCTTCCCATTTCTTAGACGAAACGGGTGAGTACGTATATACGAGTTCAGACATGGGGTACTCAGTTTGCGAGTACAGGTCGTGCGCGAAGGAGCACCACGTCAGCAACGACGGGACGGGCGTCTACGTACGAGGATCCTGCACCCGGACATAACGCACGCTCCCCTGCAGCAAAACAGTCGTCTGGTCCGCCTGTTGCACCATCGCCTATCGTCTCTCACCCTACGGAAACATCCTCCGACCACCCGGCCGCTTCTCCCGGTCCGTCTCATGATCTTCAGTCTCCTACATCTCCGGCTGTCGCATCTTCAGCACCGCCCGCTCCGACGAGCTTTGTTTCTCCGCCTGCCCAATCCGCAGACAAAGCTCCAGCATCCAGTGATGCAATCGTCTCCGCCGGACCTGTACCCGTAGTGCACGCTACGCCACCTGCACCGAAGAACAACTCGGTATATCCCGAAGCATCCGGGGTGGCCCTAGCTCTCGTTCCAGCGGTCGGGACGAATCATGTCTCCCAGTGTTCAAGTCAAGTTAACACGACGGCGGCGAAGTTCGGCGGCGACGGCGCAGGGTCTGGTCATCCTCCACGTGAAGAAACGTCAGGCCCTCGTGAGGAATACCAGGACGTTCAGATGGCGGACATATCGGATTCTCGCTCGCAGGGCAAGAAGAAGTGTCAGCGGAGCGGTGACGAGACAACCGCGCTCGTTTCAATCACCAACGACGTCCACCTGCCGAAGCGTCCCCACCAAGGGACTGCTCAAGCGAACAACAACGAGAACGCCCCAGACCAAGGCCTGCCTCGGGGATCCCGAGACCAGGACACGGTTCTTACGGAGGCTCCGGCCCCGACTCGTTCCTCTGAGCCTCAGTTACCTTCACAATCCGACGACACCGCCTACGCGTTGTCGCGTTCAGTCAGTCTCGCACCTTCCGTCATCGCCAATGAGAAAGGAAAGGGCCGCGCGAAGACAAAGCCGTCAGGGGAAGATCAGCGCCGGACTGCCCAGAACGGTATCAAGATACGCTCTGTGGTTCCAGGAACACGCTCCCTTCCGCGCGCCGGCTCCCCTACCGAATTCCCCGCTGTTCGCCCAGAACCAGGTGAGAGAGGCATGTCAATCCCCAATAGCGTCTTGCTGAATTCTCTGACAAGTGATACCGGACGACAATATGGAGTTCACTGGCGAACATGCCGGCGTTGTGAGGGTTCCGCACCCCGTACTTAACGTCGCTGGAGATGTGGTATTCGTCAACGTGGTTGAGCGCGCTGTTCGACAGGAACTCCGCGACGGGCTTCGCGATCTGCGGGATGATCTTCGAGAAGATCGCCAAATGCAACGCAACGACCGTGACTTTCAGAGGGAGATGATGACGAAGATTGACGCCCTTCACGCGGACTCGAGAGGCTCCCCTGTTACTCGACCAACGCCAGGCACTGGGCCCGCCGCTAAGGACTCGCAGGTCCACGGAGTTGACAATAACCCTTTGACTGATAACGCCGCTGACGATTTGTCGGTACCCTCATCCGCCTCTCTTCATGAGCTCGCCACGATGTTGACAGCGCTGAACCTGAAGCTTGACGTCAAACTCGACCCTCTCAGCGCGCGCGTACAGACGTTGGACGAGAAACTCAACCCCCTCAGTGCGAATGTCGCATCCTTGACCCTCAACTATAATGCTCTTTTGACACGCATGGATCGGGTTGAAAATCAGTTAAATGCCGCCGAGGCCGACACCCCATCGCGCGCTTCGGTTACCATGCCGGGCCACGCCAACGGCGCTACCTCGTCCTCCATCCCCAAGGGCCAACAGACGCCATCCGAAGCGCTCAGAACAAGTACGATTTCTGGCGCCTTAACCGTGACACCAGGTCAACAAGCGCCTGATAACGCAACTTGCGGGGATCGAAGCTTGTCTCCTTCATTTGGCTCTCGTCAGGCTCGCCCTGATGTCGTTGCTCCTCTGCCTTCTGGCCAGTTCCCTCTGAACTTGGCTCGTGAAGCTGGACGCAACTCTGCAACTTCCCCTCATAGCCCCCCGGAGACAGCGCCGCGCCCGAACTCAGGAAGCTCTGGTTTTCAACTGCAACAGGCCGTGCAGCGCGATCGCGCCATTCTCATTCAAATTCCCGCCCGGTCTCTCTCACGCGATGCCACGCCGATTCCAGTCCCGAGTGCGAATCCACGATCCCCTTCTGGCCCCCCAGTTGTGACGCGCGACAGCGTTGAGAGTATGTGCACACCGCCCTCAAGTTTATCGCCCTTGACTGAAGACTCATCTCCCGGCACTATTAAAGAATCCTCACCCACCAATATTGCGAAATCGTCTCCCACCGATATCGCGGAATCGTCTTCAGGCAACGACCAAGACCACGGCTCTGGCGATGCTGGCGGACACGACTCTGGCGATGTGGAGGAACAAGGCCCTGGTGATGCGGGGGAGCACGGCTCGGGCGAAGACGATCTCATGGAGACGGGCGATACCTGGGCGCCTAATCAGGGCAAGCGCGGGGCCGATGAGGCTGGCATTACTGGCGATGACCGTGCGGTCAAGCGTCATGCAGGCGATAATGCGTCAGACGCAGAAGAGGATGCTGAGGGCAGCATAGACGAAAGTCTTGCGGCGCCAGCATCTAGGACTGAAGATGCGCCTCGCGGTCAGGGACGTGGCAAGGGTCGCGGAGGCGCTCGTGGTCGTTGCATCGGCACGCGCAATCGCCCAATGCCTCGTAGTGGGTAATGGTAATGTCATGGCTCGGCTCACGCTCGTCTATCGGTTTTCATTCACGCTCATACTGTTCCCGTACCTTCATTCAGTATCTACCCATACCCCCTTCATATACTTCAGAATCACCTAATGCATGGCTTTTGCGGTCTGGTTCCATCAGATCAAAGCGCAGCGGCTTTTTGTAGTCCCGTAGGCGCTGGGACTCTTGTGTCATAATCGATAGGTGGGCGTTACTGTCCTGACGAATGCGTGCTCATAGTCAGGCGGCACTTACCGAGTGGATAATGCGACAAGGCTCTCAACGTCCAGCGGGTTCGAACAGGCGCAGGTGAATACGCCGTGAACCCGCTAAACAAAGCAATGGGATCACCGGAGGACGCAGTCGCTTGAGTCGTAACATTGTGCCTATGACCTGGCATCGCAACTGACTCGCCCACAAAGAACAGGCCGTGCAGTCTCGACGCTAACCGTCGCCACGACCGTTCTCCGCAGCAGCAACCGAGTGGTGGAGGACTTGTTCTGCACGGGGTTTGTTCATATCTTGGTGATGGTGTCTCTTGTATTGATACTAACTTTCTCACCGATGATTAGTCATTTCGCGGCTCGCCGGCGTGTGTCCCCTGCAGCACAGCTTTCTAAACTGTAGACTACAGACCGTGAGTCGCACCCGCTACGGCGTTCTAGGTCAAACTACTCGTCATTTGTTTATATAACAACTAAGGAGTCTTGCCCAGTATGCTCTACGTCACATAGACTAGCAGCGAGACAGGAGACCAAGCAAAATGCATCATTCACTCTTCCTAGATCGCCACGGATCCCGGCAGGCGCTTGCTCCTCTATATCAATAGATCTTACTTGCTAACCTGATGTGAACGGTTCAACTGCAAGTGATTCGCCCGCACGCCACGGCCTTTTGCGATCGATTGACCATATACGCGTTCTCGTTTCTGGGCAACGAAAATGCGTGCAACATACACCTATCAGTCCTCTGCAAAACACTTCTTCCATCCATCTGCCCACTGCTTCATAGCACGGAGACCGCCGGGAGGTTCTCCGTCTCTTGCGTGAAAGCGCCGAGCCAGATCAGCGTCCGACCCTGGGGCTCCTGTATAGAGTTGTTCGTATGTGGCGACCAGTATATCCTCGGTGTGGTCGATGAGATGTTGCAATACGCCGCGCTGCTTCAATAAAGAAGCACGTAATGCGTACAACTGGGCTTCTACATGTTCCCATGCATTCACAACTTGTGGACCCCAAGTTTCGTTGCTGCCGTCTCGCGCGCGCGAAGTAAAAGGCGGAGCCAGGCCGTAACACTAGAATTGAGTCAGAACATCACAAGGCGTGAAGTTGCATGTAAGCCGGATTCACCTCCAACGTACGGTATAGCTCGAAGGCACTGCTGTTTCGGTAAAGGTGGTGATCCTCGTGTGACATTTCGAGACACCGCCACCAGACTCTGTGATCCCCGTCCTCGATGACGACGCCGACCGACTCAAGCAAATCCTCGAATTGCCTGACCGCGGCTAGCTGGTCGGATGTGAGGGGCTTCCATTCAGAGTGACAGTCGCGGCAACGATGTTGAGCCTCGATATAATCGTACATGCCGTCTGTCGTATTATGTAGCAAACGTTGACAGACCGAACCCGGCTCGTCGGTGGAGATAATCGGAACACCCTTTATAGCGAGTACACCGCTGATGTTAGCTTGAATCGCCTGGAAGAACTTGGTGAACGGAGACGAATCTTATAGAAGAGTACTCACCGCCTCCAGCCTAAGTCCTTGCGCCAGACGCGTATGGTCTACGGCGTCCGGCGATTGTGAGGATAATAGGGGGCCGACGTCATTTATCAGATTGGTTATCCGCATCCGATAGAGAGAGTTCTCGGCAGCCGCCATCTCGTGAATGCCAGTTGTGTCCATGGCGGGCAGAGGCGACGTTGTTAGCTGTGCGAAGGCCGTCCCTTGGCATGGCACTGATGGATTCTCACGCCTTCAGCAGGGACGCGTCTGGCGACGCGCTGTGCAACCTCACTTTCCACTTCATGTCCGCGAGCGGCCAGGATCAGGGATACCCTCTGCTTCCACTCTGGCAGTCTATGAAACGGCGCTTCGCAGACGCGATCTTGCGCTTTCGACCTTGGACACCTCATGCATACGTTATAGGGTCGCTGCGGTCCGACCTGGTGCGGAATTGTCCACTCTTATTGCCACCTGGGCTCAATGTCTTCAGGCTTTCCTTCGGTCCGCGATTGGCAATCTGCGACTCGAAACTGGTGACTTGCCGCCGTATTCACCCTTCATTTGGATAATCCAAATAGCTATATATGGCGACAACAATCCCGCATTCGCCACCTTACCAAGCGAGGCCATCAAGGTTCTCACTGGCTCCGAGGGACCTGAACCCGTCGACACCACCAATTTCCCACGTTGGTGGTACGACGCACCAGTGGACCTGTCGCACGACCCTATCACCCGGACTCCTTTCGACATATCCGTCTGGATCATGGACAACTCCGTGTCCGAGATGGGAAAAGTGGCTGAGAGGGACGTTCAGGTATGTGATGTTCTGGTTTATCCCAATTCCTCGAGCACTCAATACACTGTAAGCCCGGTGATGTTTCAGCTCTCGCTGACCAGATATGTGACGTTGCCACGCATCTACGAAGAGTGGAATCGTTTGCATTGCGAAGGGCGAGGATAATTGGGGTGCTGCACGACGAAAGCGTTAGAGCTTTCATACAACTGCATGAAGCTCGCCAGATGGCTGCGACACTTGCACAGACACGATATGAAGATGGGCAGGGTTTGCCGCATGCTCTCGTTCCGCTTCAAGCTGACATACCCGAACTCAACAAGTGAGGGCGCAGCAGAGTCAGTTCATTGTTTTACGACGTTACCCTATCACGAATAACGATGCTATTCTACGGAACGGCTTTTTTGCAACCTAGTGCTCCTCCTAATGTTCTCCGTTCTCTTTTCTGCAGCCGCCGTCTCCGCTCTCGCGAGAGCTGGGGAATCATCGCGTGTGCCGCGGGTCACCAGTCCCGGCGATATGAGTGGACGCTGGGCTCCGACAAATGTGGGGCCAGCATGCCGTGCTTCATCCCCAGCAGGAGGAAGAGGCGTCGAGCTTGCTGATCGAAAGACCGCTGGCTCTGGCTGCACGAAGACGAAACGGCGATGATGAAAGGGTCGAACCGACCGGGCGGAACCATAATCGTCACTGTCGATGTCCATGATGCTGCTGGCGCTCTGGGCGTCGAAGGTCACCGACCTCGGCGCCAGACCGTCGTGAATGCGTAACCTCGGTGAGCTGATGTGATCCGGCATCTCAATATCTTCGTCGTTGTCAATGGCATCTGGATGGTCAACGTCGGTGTAGGAGTCGAATGGTCGAAAACCCTCCAATGGAGAGATGCTGCGCGATGGAGAAACTGAGTTCATTGCCGACACCGGTGTTGCCTTGCTGACACGGCCCCGAGAGGCCTTGCTCGGCTTCGAACCGCCTGCGATAGCTCGAGGCTTCTTGATAATCAACTTCTTCTGCCTCTTGAGCGGGGGATTGCGAACGATTGGCTCGTCCTCGTCAGTCGACCCGTCCTGAGGCATAGGCTGCCAAGTGCCGCCTTGTCGCTGAGGCTTGGGAACCTTGCGTGCGTGAGGCTTGCGCTTAGTTTCCTGCAGGGCTACCTCGCGAATAGCTCTGTTGGCCTTCCGCCTCTCCTCCAGCTGAGAAAGCCCTTCTAATCCCTTTCTGGTCACCTCTTGCACAGCTGTACGTGGCTGCGCCGCGAGCCAAGCCTGGTACTTTCCGACCGAATGCGATTTACTCATGTCCTCCAACTCCACCGCCCAATAACGGGGGTCGATCCTTCCAGGCACGCTCCCGCCAGCGACCTCGTCTTGAGCCTCAGGCAAAAGAGTGCCAGGAGAGGAGGTGACCTCTGACATCTGTGCCGCGGGCGGCATGGCCCTGCTCCCCCCCCCCTCGCTCCCTGCATCGTGATCAGCATCTGCGCGGGCCTCAGTAGGGAGGAGTTGCTCCAGAAGCAGAGCTTGCTCGTTTGCCCAGTCCGCGATTGCGGTTCGAAGAGCGCGTGTATGTCCTCGAAGCGTAGAGTGCTCTAAGATGGTCGCCCCGCCTTCATCCCACTTCTCGTCTTCGATATTCTCCAAATCCGAGTGGATAAGGGCTACTTTCAGTAGCACCGCCAACGCCGTCTCGCGGGAGCGCGGGACAAACTCGTACACGAGCAGGTCACCACACTTGAAATATTCAGTGATGAGGTCTGGTAGATCGGCACAAGTATGCGCGGTTGGAGGCAAGCCGCAACGTTGCCATTGCCAGGAGGGAACACCGTGATGATTTGTGATCCAAGACGGCGCGTCCGACGCTGCTGAATGCGGCACTACAGCGAAAGGTGATTCAAGCGGACCTTCCGGCTGATGAAGTTAAATAGACAAGCACCCATAACACGAGTATCTTACTCACCAATGTTACTACCAACTTCAGCAATGGAAGTAGCACGTCATATTCTTCGTGTCGAAAGAGGTACGCCAAATAATGACTTCTCGAGCTAGCCACTGCGTACTTCGTAGATGGTGCCCAGCCAGGGTAGCTATATTTTTCGGCATATCCGGCCATGGCTTCGTTAAAGGCGTCGAAAATACTGCTATAGCCGGTGTAGCCGAGGGTGAATAAACCTGCACCTTCGCTTCCCAAGCCGGTACCACCAGCGGCAGAGTAGCCTCGGAGGTACACGATCCATCCCAGAATATACGTCCATATGAGCTCTGAGCCGGCAAATAATCGAGTGCTGCCATGACTGAGCGTCCAAGGGCTGCTCCGCAAGAACGATAGCCAGATTTGTATCTTGTTCGCGGTAAAGGACGGAGTAACGGACACCATACGCCAACTCAAGTCGTCTGGTAAATTCGTATGTTTTCCGGCTGCCTTCAGCGACAGTGATGCGTTAGGTATCATCTAGGCACAGTGAGGAATGAATTCTCCGAGGATGGCAGGATGACTCGCCGGTAATTCAGCCACTTGCTTGATTGCTGACCTCAAGGAACGACTCGCGCGCAAGGGTAGAGCGCAATGATCTCGCAGTTGCACCAGACACCATTGAGCTCTCGCTTCACCGTTCGCCGGCACTCTACAGGGCGGTTCGCCCTGCGAAGTCTCCGAATCATCAGGCGATGAGATATCCGGATCAGCCGGCGGTGCGTCCTCTGGATCTGGTACAGCGGCGATACCCAATGTCTCCAGCGCCTCGTCTTCGCGTACTCCCTCATCGTGCACCAGATGACCGCCGGCGCTGCCATAAGGAGAAAGCTGCGGAGGTCGGGTTGCCGGCGAGATGAACTGCTCTGGTGTGAAGTCGAAGGCGGCTTGGGCGGCAGAAGGAATGGATATCGCCGGTGGTACATGATCGGCCATGGATGCCGCCCACCATCTCTCTTCCATAGGCACAGGTGTCGTAGGTAGACTATTCTTTCTTTGCCAAAGTTTGAATTCAAGTCCCTTTGTCACCGTAAACCAATGCTTCAAATAACGGAAACAGTTGGGCTGCCGAAGGTTCGTGGGGATAGACATAGGGACATCTGGTAGTAGATATTTGGCGTCGACGAGGTCATGAAAAGAAGACCAAGGTGGATCCAAATCACGGTAGTTCGATATGTTGCCTGTGTCTACATCAACTCATGACTCTCGTGAGTCGCAGAGACAAGAGGACTGACTGTGAGCCATTCTCACTATCGTATAAACCATGGCTATCGCTTCTTTGAAGAAAAGCTCTTCGTCAAACTCATCCGCGCGAAGCAGAATCCCGTCGCGACCTAGGAAGTCATCTTCGTGCAGAGCCCAAGTGGTCTTGCGCTTAAGACGTGATTTCTTCTCGAGAACGGTAGGCAAAGCCGCCCCCTCAATTCGGCCTTGTTGATTTCAGAATCTCAGCAGAGATCGTAGCAATCTGGCGCTCACCGGCGGCGTGATTGACTTCAAGGTAAATATCGGTGAGTACATCACCGACAGGGACAGTCTTAACGAGGGGTCGATCGAGGACCTTCAGCTCGTAAAGGAATTCATAGCTGCACATTTGTAAGCAACCGTATGGGGCGGGTATGAATCGTGATGACGGGTCTCACAGTCTTGGCGGATTGGTCAAGCCCGGTTCCGGTATAACCATGGACACCATGTGCTGACCAAAGTCGCGCAGTGCCGTAAGGTGTACAGTCTTGATAAATTGTTGAAATCGTCGATAGTATGCACTATCTTCAGCATTAGAATTGATACCCGAAGAGTCTTGAACTTGGAACGCACTCTGTCTTTTGCTGAACGGGCAGACTGCCGTTCTGCCACTCCTTGGCTATGACACCCAGGAGCCCCCTCTCTTCTGGAGGCAGTTTCCAGTAGTATACTGTGCGGCACTTGATGCGATGTCCGATATAGCCCCGAGGATCGCCGGGTCGCATCCCAGTGCCTAGGAAGACCATCTCGTCGATAGAGTCGCTATACACGATGCCGCAAACCCTGAGACCAGTCCATTTTCTCCCAACAATGCTAGACGGGAGAGAAGGCGGTTCCCGAATGCGACCCTGTTCCTGAAAGTAACGCTGTAACGCCTGTATCCGCTTCGGGTCAGCCTTTCGTGTGCGCAACCGAAGCTCACAGTTTGAACCTACTAGCCATTGGGCCTTGAATTCATCTGTCCGAGGTCGATTTGCCCAGTCGATTGGAGCTGGCCAAACCCGTTCCATCTGCTCCTGCAGGAACGACCGGCGGTCTCGGGGAGCTAATTTTACGTACGAGTCCACAGACGCAGAGAGCGTCGTCAAGACGTCGACAGTAAATATTGCCGAGGGTAGAATGGTATCCGCAATTTCCCCATACGTGATTTTCCTGCTGGGACGCATTGTAGAACAGACCGATGGCCATGCACCGGCTGACTGCTGGCAGAAGGTGTGTGGGAGAGGGAGCAGCCTTCGAACTGACTGTCGGCGTAGGTATGTATATGCTTTGAGCGCCCTCGCACCCGCCATCACCGCTACCGCAGCGTGGGAGGATTGTAGAGCGCTGATCGCCTGAACATCTGCATTACATTACCATCACGTTTCATTATTGAGCGCTCCACCCTCTTGTTGAGCGCGCCGCGCTCAGTAGGTCCGGCCCTGTATTGTACGCATACTCGTAGCACTTTGGAACATCAGCCTGACCGCCTTGAAGGAGAGAGATAGCACCGTGTGTAAAGCTAAGGAAGGTGGGAGGTTCTCATCTCATTCACCGTCGTTAGAGGGTACAAGCACCGCGTTCGCATACAAGACCGGCATCGGCCGACTGGCCCCTGCTACCAGGCACACGTCGACGCCGGTTCTAAACTTCCCCTCATCTAGGCGGGCAGAACAGAGTCTGGCGATCATGCGCACTGAGCGAGACCTTGTCTTTAAGACGACCCATAACACCGCCTCGATCGCAAATAAACGTCCTGAATACGCTCAAGGCCCTCGCTCGCTGAAGCAGTATGTACGCAACCCGGGTCCGCGCGACCGCCTGGCAAGCGGGTCTGGGCTTGGTCGTCCTCGCAATGGAAATGTCCAAGTCCAATGGAGGCCCTCTTTTCGCAACGTCGCCAGCGAGCAAGTCTGGCAGCAGGCTGAGAATAAGCAACATCGACCGCCGCATCCATCTGCGGGCCAGGACGGGGACGGAGAACCAGGATATCACCGAAACAGCGCGTCAGCCGGACACCCTAGCTCGGTCAACTTCGCGGGTGTCTTGGACGAACTTCAAGGCGATACTCGAGTCGACATGTTGGGTGTGCCTGTCTCCGATAACTATGAAGCTATGCTCCTGGGAATGAATGAGCGCACGAGCGAAGGGAAGGTGGGAGAAGATCCTATTTGAAGTCTACGTACACGAGTGCTCATGCAGATGACACAGACACAGGTTGATTATATGCGCAACTTCGTCGAACAGAAACTCGCCTTCAAATACGCCGACCTCGTTGTAGCATTCAACCATGCACCACACCCAGAACTCCGATGCTCCGTGTGTCAGACCCCGCAAACGGGCCGCTGGCGCTGTGCTCATTGCAGCGTCAAGAGGGACTTCTGCGGCGAGTGTCTTAGACAAGCGCACTGGAATAATCCCTTTCATTCGGTCGGCTGGTGGACCGGTCAGCATTACCGCCGTGCGTGGCTGCGGGATGCAGGAGTTGCCATTCATCTCTGTCCCAATGCTCGGTTCAGTGGAGGTTGTCCCGCCAGCACCGGTTCAACACCAGATTTTACACTTCTCGACACAACGCCGCCCCCCTCGTATGGGAGTTACTCGGTAGATCCCATTCAGCGCAGGCCTAGCGAGGCAGCGTCTGACACGCCGCTTACCGCCACCGTCAATCCGGACGCCACGATCCATCTGCCTCCTGATTTCAACGACATTGATGATGGGGAGAGGGAGGACGTTGTTTTCAGCAGCGCACCCGTAGAGTCCGATGCATTCCAACCGATAGGAGATGATGACGACGGCGAAAGTCCGACATCTGAACCATCAAAGCCGCACGGTGTCGTCCGAGAAGCAGGACGATCGTCAATTCCCACGAAAGACCTTTATGGCAACCGAACCCTGGTCATTATACACACCGACGGAATTCACGGTATTGGAGTCGAATTCTGCCAGTGCGACGGGCATGCTTCCGAAGACCAGCAGCTCATTCAGTATGGCGGTCTGTATCCGGCTTCCCAGGATCGCCCATCTACCGCATTCACCCTTCAATTCCTCGAATACCGACACGTTGACGACGTGATTTGCAAGACCTCTCCCCAGGCTCACATGAAGAAACTCAGGCGATGTACTGAACCAAACGACCCGCGTCTCGCTCCAGTATGAGTTATCTAGACCGTTGCTTTTGCTTCACCAATGACTAACGGACCTTACAGAACCGCTATCCGGAGATGCTTGTAGCATCACGTCAATTCGTGGCTGTGAAGAATCTCATAGACTTCGGTTACGCCAGTCAGCCTTCCTCTGGCTCCCGGGATCCCTCGCCTGGCGGTTTGGTTTGGAAATGCATCGTTTGCCCTAGGAAAACGCCTGACTTCAACAACTTGCCGAAGGCGTGGGAGAACAATCCGGACGAGTGGCGCACATTCGTCTCTTTATGTTACGACGGTAACTTCAGCGGCGACCACACGATCTCGCGGCGACTGGATAATAATGTCCCCCTGTTCCCTGGCACGGGCATGTTTGATCATCCGGACGTAGTGCGCCAGCACATGGCGAAAGCTGTTGACGATAGCGATTTGCGTAAGATTGACCCCAACTTCGTGAGCGGCTTGGATGCACGGTTGGGGCACAATTGACACGAGATCGCAGGATAAGAATAGCGTACCTTGCCACAGACACAAAGCCGCCGCCGGTGTTGGCAAGACTCGGAGCAGGATCGTCGACATCAAGGGGATCGGCTCTTGGGCTTGCTCTCGTCACGGTTGTTTCTGTGCATGCTCAACAAATAACTTTGAACTGGGAGAAAGGTAAGGAGCGACGTTCAGCTTTTTGGAATCTGCTCACCGACATCCAAAAGCCAGCATCCTGTTGACAAAAGTCTCGACTCGGCGTTCCGACATACCATTACCGAGCAGATCACCCGTGTTCAGCTTCTGTATGATATTTGGTGTCGTTACGGTGTTCATGTTAGGGAGCGCTTCCGACACAGCGGACTCGATTGGCCAAAGTTTCGCGAAGTGCTACAAGGTGTCGGCGTTTGGCACATATATGGACACGTGTTTGAATGTCTGCGAAGATTTTCACCGTCCTATTCCCCTCGGTCTGGCATCGTGGATGGCGAGATTTTGGAAACTCTGTGGTCGCTTCTGAACGCCGTTCTTCAATCTTGTCGCGGTATGTCTTTGGCGGCGCGAGAGGAGAAGATCAACATGCATATGAACGACATCAACTACAGAAAGATTGTGGGAATGGGTAAGATGAACAATCATTCTCAAATGACTAGCCGCCAACTAACGAATTTGAAGTTAGCTCCCTGGTGCGCAAGCTCCGCAAGTACAGCAAAGAGCTTGACGCCCGCCGCCACCACCTGAAGCGCTTAGAACTTTCTTGCGACGAGGAGGATATCTTCAGATGGGAGCAAAGTCGGAAGGATCTAGAAGAAAGGCGCGCCAAAGATCCTTACTACGCAGATGAGTTCTGGACCGCCTCCACACCGGAAACAGGTACGGCATTACTACGAGTCAATGCCATGTACTTATTTCATAGCAGCAAATACCAAGGTTGCGACCGAAGTCCTCCTTCTAGAGGGCGACGAGAGTGGCGGCCTGGTGAAGGCGATTATAACAAGTTTAAAACTCGAAGAAGACGGGTCAGTATCCTCAAACGCCTTTCGGTGATTCAACGAGCTGATGCTATCCAGATTGCGCATGCAGGCTCAAGGGAAGACTTGGGGTTCGTCGCTTTCAGACCGACGCACAGTGGCGATTGCCAGAACTAGGTTCAACAATCGGCGCATGAATGCTAACCGAGAACTTGCCCATATTCTGGGACGCAACGCCCCTGGGGATGAAGACCTGTCATCTGCTCGTCTTCGGAAAGTTCTTGAGGAGGACGAATGGGGTTCCGACGACGACCGTACGCACGACTATCACCTACGTGACAAAGTCGAGTTCCGACCGGTCGACTTGCCCTCTTCGCGTTCCTCGGCCTGGCGACACAAAGCCAATGCCACTGCGATGGCGCGGCGCGCCATGGATATCGAACGTGACTTGAGATTAGGTGACATGGAGGAGCGTCTGCAAGCAATCAGGGAGGGTGTCTGTGATCAGGCACAAGGGTACCGCTTGGAGATTCGCAAGAAGAAGGGGAAAGGAAAATCAAACTACGAGAGCCGCACTAATGCGTGGCTGCACGTCCGTCAGCAGACAAAAGACGTACGAGTTCATGCGGCGATCTACAACCACCATGTTCGTAGACTCCGCCGCGTGATGTGGGACGACAGTGGAGCTATAGTAGATGCCACTCTGATAAAAATTTGGCCCAGCTATAGCTAGAATTGGGTTGTGTTTTTAGCTGTGCTAACTTTACTTCTTGCCTGCCAAGTATTTAGTAGCAAGAAATATTTCTAGCTGAGTATAAAATATTTTGCTAGATAAAGATGGCCTGAGCTGGAGTTGAACCGGAGAGCTGATAGAATTAGCTGCAGCAACATTTATTCAAATCACAGGCATTTTACCAACTGAGCTATAGAGCCATATATAATATACTATGTAATAAAAATATATAGAGTAAATGTGCCGGAGGGGTTAATTGTTAGGGTTAGGTTAGAGGTTAGGTTAGAGGTTAGGGTTAGTGGTTAGTGTTAGGGTTAGGTTAGTGTTAGGTTAGGGTTAGTGTTAGGTTAGTGTTAGGGTTAGGGTTTTACACCACGAACACTCGAGAAATCATCCAAAAAAAGCCCAGCGGATTCGTTATTGCAGGAAGGTCCCTACATCACTCAGGTACTCCAGAATGAATGAAACCTATGCATTACGAGCCTACACGTTGTCGTTTTTGCTTGGGAAAACACATTGCGTAGAAACTATCTATATCAATTGTTTAGTATAATTTATATGCTCCAATAGCTTAGTGGTCTAATGCTTCACTTTCCCAGCTAAATATATCTGCAGCTATTTCTATTCCAGCCCAGGTTCAATTCCCCATCATGCCAGTTTTTTATTATGCAGCTAATTAAATTAGCTGTGAAAAAGTATTTTTTCCAAAAAATAAAACTTCCACAGCTAGGAACACAACTGAATTCTAGCTATAGCTTCAGCAAAAATTTTTTTCTAGCCACCACAGCCCAGTGGAGAGGCAATTGCCCTCTATGACCGTCTACGAACCAGGTATAGGCCCATCGCTCCTGACGATATACGTTGCTCTACTGCAACGTATGAAGCCTACAACAACATTCGCACTCGCGGCGAATTTCGTTTACCCTGGTTCTGGCGAATGGACAACACAGATGATGGCGCGGATGCCGACGCCGACGCCGACACCAAACCCCAGCCTCTTGATGACGCGACCTTCATTGGTGATTGTGAGGTGCTTCCATCTGACAGTTGACGTCGTGTGCTGACTCATTGCAGTTTATCGCACTCGCTGGATTAACGCCAGGTGCGCGGTGGTGCGATGTGAGGAGGAGGAGTTCATGCTTCAAGGGGAGATGCAGACTTGTTATCTGGGCTACGTCGCGCTAGCATACGCCTGGCGACAGCGCGCTCATTTGTCTGGTAACCTTCAGTCAGAGCGAGGGACACATCCCGGCCATCGTGCTCATGCTCTGCAAGTCGCACACAACTGGTTGGATCTTGCCGCATTTGCGAAGGACTCGTTCAATGCAGAGGTCTCTAACATTATCACAGAAGACTTGCAGTAGGGATCGGTTAGAGTATCGTATACCAGAGACTAGCATTTACATCTGTAGTGTACCGGGTTACTGATACCGAAAAGTTCGATAAGTTCCCCAGCTGAACTTACAGAGAACGCTCGCGGCCCGCACTTATTTCGCCCGGCCGCGTTCACCGTAAGAGCGACAACGACACCCGAAAGAACACCAGAGAACATCGCCGAAGGCGACGCGGTCACCTGCTTTTCCCAGCCGCGTTGCGCGACGCCCGCCGGCAGTAGAGAAGGCCGCTTATGGTATGCGGTGTCTCCACCGCCTATTGCTTTGTTATTGTAGTGATTGTAGCATATAGAGGCCGTTTCACGAGTAATATCGCAGCATCGATTCTTATACCAATATGTGAGAGAAATTACATGGAAGCAATGATTAAGTGGATTCTTTCAGCTCCCGCATCGATACGGCGACCCGTATTGAATAGATGGCCCCATCGACTCTCCAGGGCGGTATACCTGCCCGAAGTGGCACGGCACACGACGCGAATGATTCGTAAGCGAGAACACGGGACTTGCCCAGGCCCTGGTACATCGTTAAGATACAGTGCCAGGGCGTTCAATTGTGACGATACTATGTGTCCTTTCGGAACAGCGGGTTGCTCTTGCTGTTGCGTGGAGAAGTAGATCCGGCGTATGACCAGTTGCTCGATTTCGTCACAGGCCGCTAGCATATGACGCCACCCCAAGGAGAAGTTCGGCACAAAGGATGCTTCCGAAATGACCAGGGAGGCAATATCTTGCTTGCCTGCGAATGGCGTGCCGGGTCTCCCTTTAAGTACGACAGTCGTCACGTAGGCAATGACGTCGTACAGAGGCTTAACATATCTCGAGCGATACAAAGCGTTGCGTGATGTGGCCGAATATTGGCCGTCCCTGACAATGAGCGAGCGACGCGCATTATCCTTTTCGCCCGGCTCAAGGGAATGCCGCCAATCCCAGCCAGGCTCCGCCTGCAACAGACGAATGTCCTCCACGTTATGCGCGAGCACGACGCCGACCAGCTCCGGAAAACGCAATGGTTCGCGTTCAAATGCATGCATAGAGGGATCCTGCCGGATCTCGAAAGACACGGCTTGAAACGTGTGCCATAGATTCTCGGGTCGGATGTGGAAGGTAGCCGTGTCTTGGAAAATGCCGCGTGTCTGGTCCGGCGCTGCCAATGCGCAGGCAAAACGCCACAATGCGCATGGAAAATTATTTCCGGTGAGTCGGTCTGCGTAGTTGTCTAATTCGGCGAGAGGGGCTTCGCAGTTATGAGCCGATTGTTTGAGCCGTCTAACCCGACGAGCCGCCTGCGATCGCCATTGAACAACAGGTTCGAGATGCATGTCCAATTGCGCTGGCAACCTCATGCGGCTGAGCATACGCGCGCAAGACTCGAGCGGCAGGACCAGGCGTAAGAAGCGTAAATTCGGGAAAGATAAGGTGTGCGCTCCCAGGGCCTCGCCCGACCCGGCCTCGAGTGTTAAGTACTCGAGCTTCCCGGCGCACATGAGGAGACCGTTCGTAAAACTAGCCCCGAAGCGCGCTCGGCGAGAGAGAGGGAAAGACATGTAGAACGAGTTCAGCTCTTTTGAAGAGAAGCAGAAGGCAATGTTGATGCCACAAAATGTCAATAGATTTTCACGCTCTATAGAACGAACAGTAATTCCCACAGGCGCGCGAGGGCTGTCAAATAGCTCGAGGTCGAAGTGTTGCAGAGGACTCGGTACAATGGTGAGGTCATTGGAAAAGAATACGTCCCCTCGAGTATCTGGAATGCTGGGAGCGTCCCAGGGCATCGAGACCTTGACGACTCGAAGCGTCTCATAAAACGGGTGAATGGCCCGAAGTAGACAAGTACAAGCGTGCGATGCGATCAAGTTGTTCGCCCCGTATAGTTTCACGTAGCCGTCCTCTGGATTGCTGCTCCTGGGAAGGCGCGTGGAACCCGAGTACTTGGCGATTTCCTTAAAAAGAGCGTTGTCGTGGTTCCAGAGCCAAGGGAGGCTCTCGGTGATAAGCTTGCGAAAAAATTGGTTGGTCTGGATAAGACAATGCGCTGGGGACCGTTCGACTTGGACGGGATTGTCTTGACAGCAGTGTGGGAGCTTCTTGCGGGGGACGAGTTCGCAGCACGGTGAGGCGCGCCGCACAGGGGTTTGAAGGGTGGTGCCTTGCATGCGCTCGAGACCGCCGGGAGTGTCGTGATGAGAGGATATAGCTGCATTGTACCAGATGAGCTGTGCGAAGATGACAATTTCGGTCAACAGTTCAACAGGAATATGGAATAGCGGGTGCAAAGCAGGCGTTGTCTGAACGTCCATATGGGAGTCGAATGGTGGTAAGCGGAGAGAAGGACGACAGCGATCCGGTCTGAACCCGCGCCACGTGGCAACGAACGTTAGAGTTTGACTCGGAGCAGAATTCACACGGGTGCCAAAGCGAGAAGGCGAAAGCGCACAGTATACCAATCTATACTATACAGTATCTGTGTATCTATAGCCAGCCAGCGCAAGACATAATGCATGCCACTCTATGACGACTGTAGGCGTGCGTGCATCTATTGGGCATCTATATGCTGGACGTGCGCATTCGCCGCGATGGTGGTCCTTCAGAGCTTCAGAACTCTGAACGAGTATTAACGCGAGTGTAAGTTGGTCGGGTACCGGACCCAATCGCAATGACGCGCGCATTGTTTAACCGGTTGTGTAAGTTTGAAGCTGTGCTCGTCCGCGCCGGTGCAGAAACATTCGAGCTTTCGCAAGCCGACCGAGTATTCGAGTATTTCCGCGGGCGGTGCATCTAAACATCTTGTGACGCCACAAGCCCCTGATGGGGTAAACGATGGCGGACGCCGGGTATTTGACGAAGCATCGACCACCAGCCCCGGGGCAACATGGCTTCTCCGCAAGGCGGCGGAGGGTGTTTCGCATTTAACCACCGCATCACCGCCGGGCGCGCGTAGCAAGCGATGCAGGCTCTCTCCTTCTCGAACGACGATACTTCGTGGAGATGTTGGTTTCCTGAGAACAGAGCGACGGCCCCCGAGTCGTACTGAACGCGTATCCCCAGTCCAGGAAGAGACAGAACTGTACGTGAGTCGCCACCGATAGTCAACAAGAGATCGTAGAAAGTAGCTCCCCCGCTCGCCCGATCTCGGTGTCCTGGCGTTATTCTATTCGTTATCAGCGTAACGGCGTTGAACGCAAATGTCCAGTTCTCCATGTGACGCGTGAAGTCAGGGAGACTTGACAGAAAATCTAGTGCCGCCCGAGTCTCGCGATATTGAGCCGGGTGAACGATGGCCAGTATGACAGACATCAGAATCCCTGTTTCAATATTCTCGGCAAGCCAATGCTGCGCACTGATCTGTGCAGGACTGTCACGTCTCCCAGGGGCTGCCGCCAAATCTCTGGAAATTTGCAGTGTATCGTTCCAACCCTAAGCGTCGAAAGGGTCTCTGAATGGTAACGTCACGAGGTAGGCTACAGTATAGAACATACCTCCTGCGCTTGTAGTAACCACCCCGGCGATAACGTTGTCATGCCTTGCCCAAACCGGAGCTGCGTGTCGCCTTCGTCGATGGCGTACAATAATTCTGAATGCCGCCATTGAGGACTATCCATATTGGGATTGTCTGGATCATCTGGCTGAGGGGGGTGAGCTGCCAATGCCGCAGCCGCAGTTGGGATACTTTCGGCGATGATTGCCTAAAGACGGGTTCACAGTTGTCCAAGACAAGGAGGTTGGTATACGTACCTGCCGCGCGGGAAGTAAAACGCCTGGCAAATACCACATGAGCATATCGCCCTCATCCGCTTTGAAAGAGCACGGTCTTGTCTGTGCTTCTATCCGCGGGGTTGGAAATTGCACTCTCAGCAGAGCTTCGAAGTTGGAGCGTCGACCATCTTGGCGTCCAATACTAGCTGCGTACGTTCTAGCATTCAAGGGTATTTCAACTGTAAGGGGTTTGAGTTCTTGTCGTTGTACGTACGGCACATACGAACTTTGACGGTTCGCCGCCTCCAGCACCGTTTGCGCCACGACGCGTAGTTCTGCAAGGAAGCTCCGCGGGATACCTTGAGGACTAGACGGAGGGTCGACATGTGGCACCGGCAGCTGCAGCGACATAGCCTTGATGAAGCACCCAACACCATAGTCCACGCAGGCGTCCAGAGCTTTCAGTGTCTGGGAAGCAGTCATGGTGAATAGGACAGAGATTCGGAATGCAGGCCGGTTTCAACCGAAGCCTTGATATTTTCCCACGGCAACGGCGAATCATGATTCACGATGGAAGTGACAACAAGCTAAGTATACAAAGTTAACGATTTCATTGTAAAGAGTCCATACTCGACATAGCCACATCTATCGGCCCACACTGACGCAAACGTGACAGCCCGTTGTAGCGGGCAGCCCAATGAGCGCAGAATAACCGCATGGTTGTCGGAAGATAGTCCTGACATACAATGCGGATCTGTTTAAGATGGACACAAGGAGGATGGTCGGGATGCCCGGCATCGTTCAAGTAGATCGCCAGGGCCTCCAAATGGGCCGGCTCAAGATGCCCTGACGATAGATCGAGGGCTCCTTCGAGGTCGATTCGCCGGCAGCGGATGACGACCAGCTCAAGTTTCAGAAAAGAAGAAAGTATGCTTTCCCACCCCATGGAGTAGCGAGGTATGAAAGACGCCTCGTGTAGCACCAAGGAGCGGCAAGACGGGCTCCCGTAGAACAAAGTCTCCTTTTTCCCTCGGAGGGCGGTGTTCAGCACGAAATTCGTACATTCATAGACTGGTTTCAGGAACTGCGGGCGGTAGAAGCTGTCCCTGACAACAGCGTCGTACACTCCGTCCCTGACCGTGAGCGAGCGACGCACGGTGGTCTTCCCGTTCGGCGGAGGGGAAGATTTCCAATCGAAACCAGGGTTTGATAGGAGGGTATGCATCTCTGGTACACTCCGAGTATAGCTGACACCAACAACCTCCGGGAATCGCGCACATTCGCGTTCCGACGCCGACGCCGAGGGATCCAGTCTTACATCCAGCGCGATCGTGGTGAGCGTATCCCACAGATTCTCTGTTGCTGGCAGCGCGCTGGCATGAAGATCTTGAAAGAGAACCCACGTCTTGTCCGGCGTCGCGAGTGCGTTAGCATATCTCCATAGTGCACCTCGGCGATTTCCCGTTTCGGCCTCATCGTCCAAGAGGTGAAAGGGCACCTCAGACCTCAGTGTCGGCGGTGCGACATCATCATCATGCGTGGGTGCGGTGGCCCGCCATTCGACAACAGGCTCTAGATGGATATCTACCTGGGCAGGAAGCCTCAAGTGACTGAGAAGGAATGCTCCTTCTCGAATGGGCGCTACGAGACGGAAGTATCGTAGTTCGGGAAGTGCGACATGGTTCATGGCGTGAACAACGGCGCTCCCCGCATCAATGGTCAAGTATTGAAGCTTCTCGCCACATGCGACCAGGGCGACAAAGAACCGCGGCCCGAGGCGAGGCCGAAGAGATAATGGATAGAATAGATACAAAGAGGTTAGCCGGGGAGAGAAGAACACGAGCGACGATTTGATAGCCCGCGACGAGAGGAGCGATGTGGTGCGAACAGCACGAACGTGGAAACGGTCGACTGTGCGGGAATGTTGTAGAATCTCAAGATCAAAGTGCTGCAGTTTACTATGCAAAGCACCGTTATGTCTCTCGAAGAACTCTTCCGCACAAGAGCCTGGTAGGCCGGGGATTGCGGGGGCGATGGCGACCTTGACGCTTTGCAGCGATGGATAATAGGCGCTGAGGCCTTTGAGAAGGCAGGAGCACGCTTGCAAAGCGACCAACGTGCGCGAGCCGTACGCGATAGTATATTGGCGACTCCGGGGTGGATAAACATGATACAGCCCGGAGTTTTCCGCGTTCTTCCGGTACAATACACTCTCGGTCTGCCAGAGCGGGTCAAAGGCGATGACGAGGCTGCGTATCCAGCGGCATGTAAGGCTTAGTGCGTGTGCAGGGGACAGCCCGTCGATGGGAAGGGAGTCATCGTAGCACTCGGGTACTACGGAGTATTCCAGATTATGACAGCAAGGCTTCTCTCGCATTGTACCCTGAGGAAGGGGGGAGTCCAGTCGACGAACACCGGCATAAGGTGCTTGAGGGGACATCACGTCCGTGTGCCATTGATCCTGGGCGTATAGCGCTATCTCGAGGATGACTTCTGGCGGTATGAGCGAGAACGGCGATGACATGAGCGTCCTACGAACAAGCAGGTGGCGGTTCAGAGGCAACAGTGCGGAAATTCACATCGGCGGTCAACGACAGGGCGACCGCCTAATGATGGGGCGCGAACTGTGATTTCGTGGCGACAGGGATTCGGTGGATTCCACGAGACCGGAACAGGCTTGCGAAACCCTGCGAAAGTCGCGGCGGCGCGTGAGCGCTACCAACTGCCCAAATAAAGTCGAATAGGCGAATCTTGCCTCTACACCCTCCCAGGACGCCCGTTCCCATTCTTTCCACCACTGGGGTGTCCGTATGGCACCCATGTAGCCTAGTATCCAGCTAGTCCACTTTCAATGTGTTTCTGGGCAGGAGAGCGCAAGACGCCGACATCTCGTAGCCGAGCGTGACGATTGCCCCGAGAGGAAGACTCACCTTTTTGGGATGGAAGTAGATTATGAACGCGACTTTCGCAAGGTTTTTGCAACCGCAGTAGACCTGTGCCAGCATTCCAAGTGATCCTGTATATGTGAAGCTCCTTCAAATGGGCGCAAAGATCTCGAACGACGACTCCATCTCACGGAAATCATGCCGACAACCCTTCTGACCACTTGATATGATGATGACTGTACGCACCAAAGATCGGTGCCAGGCTCATCAGGAGTAACTTATTGGCCTACGTAAATCATTGGATTCAACATCGGCACACTTTTATCATACAATCGCGGCAGGTAGTACAGGTGGTTGAACGGAGAAGAATATACATTAGACACTCGGAACGTGAAGCTTTATACACGAACTGGAACCCATACTATCATGAAACGAGCCATGAGAACGATACGTAGGACGCGGACGCGGACGCGGGAGGGGGGGGAGGGTAACAAAGAGCGAACGATGTGGGGCGAGAAGATATCTGTTCCACCGCGAAATCACTGCGCCTTGAGCGTGGGCGCGGGCGCGGGAACCAGCTCTTGGAGGGACGTCATCAGCTTGCGGTGGTGCCCAGTGGCTGCCGTAGTGGTCTCTGCGAATCAACGCGTCAGATATTTCGACAAAGCTAAGCAACAATGTTAACATACCATGGAAGGCCGCAGCAAGTTGATTGAAGGAGGCAGTCACAGCATTCGTGACATGGTCGGTCTCAAACTTGTACGTTTTGTTGAGACCACGCAAGCTGACGTCGACGAAGTCGAGGTTGCCAGTGTACCGAGCCACTTCAGTCCGAGTCGCCTGATCCTTCTCGAGCTGCGCCTCGAAATCGATGGCCTGCTGAACAAGGTTCTTATTCATAGCCTCGACTTGTTGGGTGAGGCGTTCGATGAGGTCTGACCAGCGGTAAGTGCCACACCCAATGATCATGCGTCTGGCAAGCGTACCGAGGGGTAATTGTTCACCACCGACGCTGGCGTGCGAAGGAGCTTCGCTGGGAATGGAGGACTGGCCGGAATGAAGAGACATGGTGGTGGTTGGGAGCGAGTCTGACATGCTCTCAAGCTTTATATATAACCGCTCCTGCGCGGATCATTGCGACACCAGGCGGCCGAGCCTGCCACGTGTACGCTGAGACCATGCATTCTTTGTGCGCAGTGCCCCCAATCCGGTCGTCACGGAACTACGGTGTACAAAAACGCAACCGTGACTACCCGGATTGCGCCGATTATACCTATCTCAAGGTCTAATGCACCTTGCAGCGAGAGTGGTCGGCCAAAAGGACTTAGGACAGGCGGGTGTCAAAACGTACACCTTCCGACGGATTGCGCATGCCAGCCAGGCGAATGCGATAGAGAATAGCCAAAGCCGTAGCCTACATCCGGATCGCGGTTCCCAATCCCTGGATTAGAGCGCTTGGGCTGAACATAATTCCGATAGAAGCGGATGCCGACCCAATGCGAGTTTCTCGGCACGCGTCCTTCACAAGAACTTGTTTCAGTGGCTAGAACCTTCCGTCGTGCAACCCTCACACGCGAACAGCCTCGCACCCATGATCAAGCCTTCAAGAATGAATGGTTCCGGTCGATCTGTGGCCGTAGCATATCGGGATGCCACCGGACTAGGGGGATGTCCAACCTGTCGGGAAGACTGAGAACTAGAAAGGCATCGTAATCTCCTTCGAGAAGAATGTACACTTCAAGCTTCGCCATGCGCGGGAAACTGCAAGAAGATCGATGCGTTTCTCATCAAAGGCGAGGCCGTACAGGTCGCCCATTGCTCGTGCTGTACGACAAACGGTCATTCCCGTGCCGGCGATATGCAGTATATGTTCTTGTGGCACTTCATGTTGAGGATGGCTCGCCGTCCTACGTTCGTGCCCGCCCTAATCATTATCATCGCCGACCGGGAATTCACTACTGTACCTTCGGTGGTTCCAACATGTGCTGAGGGTCGCCCCAACGGAGGCGCACTCGTCGTTCAAGGCGCGGGAATGAACGACGACGATAGAAGATGGTAGCGGTGGTCTTGACGCGAACTAACGAGATCGCCGGCGTTGCTTCTCAGCGGTCCCTGAACCCTGATACACGATTAGTGAAGTATTCGGATACCAAACACTGCAGCAAATGATATCTTTCACGCGCGACATACGAACCATGCAATCCCGTGAGCAGTGCCTCGTAACGCACGGTCGGAGGAGAGCCACTGACGAGTTGAATCTGCGCGCGGAGCGTCCAGTCGCGTCCAGTCATAACGGGTAGCACTGCGATCGTCGTCGTCGAGCAGGAAATAACAGCCACCAGATGCCACGCGAGTCAAGCGCGCAACGCACAAGGCCGCCAGAGTGCACGCGGATTTCCTAGAACGAACAAAGCCTCCCACAGTGGGCGCTTGTGGGTCCGGCTCCCGGCGTGGTGATCCGCCACAACTCGGCAATATATAACACCGCGGTCATATACCTCTGCGACTTGTCTCCTGCGTCCTAGTCCATGTCCGACATTACGATGGCGACAGCTTCAGGTATTCAGCCAACCCCCACCCCCCAAGCGGCCGGCGCGGCCGGCGTCGCTCCCGACGGCGCCGCCGAACAACCTGCTCCGGACGCCAACGATGAGAACCCAGGCCCCGAGGCCGAGGACGCCGGGCCCGGTGGTGCCGCCGGCGAAGACGCCCATCCCCAGGAGGATCCAGTCCTCGGTGCGTACGCAGCGTCTCCCAGAAGACACATCATATAACTCACTGCTCTTGACAGCTGCTATCCGAAGACTGGTGGCCGCGTTTGAGTCGGTCGCAATGGAGTCCTCGAGCCAGGCGGCCTTGGTCCAGCAGCGGCACATCGCCTATAATGTTGCCATGCGCAACGTTCTTGCTCTCCTCCACCGCGTCGTCCATGCCGCCGGCGGCATCGACGCCGCGGAAATCGCCATACGCGAGATCGCGCGAGGTGTGGAAATAGCGGTAGGAGCAGGCGTCGCCGCAATACGTCATGATATCTTCGGTGATTATCCTCCATCCCGACCTCATCATGCACTTGCTGACCTTACGTAGCCGCAAGCGCGCAAGCTCAGCACGAGCACTCAGAGCTCGTCGCCTACCTGCGCTTCATCTTCATTCAACTGGGGATTCTGAGGGAGCCCGACGAGGTGCCGCAGCCCGCACAGGGGCAGCAGCCCGCACAGGTGCAGCAGCCCGCACAGGTGCAGCAGTTCGCACAGGTGCAGCAGTAGATTCATCTGATCCTGCCAAAAATGACTGCGCGTTGTACATCTTTCTTGAATATTGTTCGTGCGTTCTCGGGTGTAAACCAAGTGTAATAAACGTCTGCGCTGTCATACTACGATATTTGGACTGCGTTCGTCAGCATTAGCATTGAAGCACCGCAACAACAAATGGGTCGTCGGCACCGCGCTCAGCATCACCGTGCGGACCAGATTATCAGACACCTCAATCATGTGATGCGATCTGCGTCTCTTGCAAAGGCGAATGGCTAGATTGGCCTTGGTCGAGACTTCGAGACGCCGAGTTACCAGAGGTCCGGTGCTCTCGTGGGTTTCAAACAAGGGCTTATTTTGCGGCGCACGCAATACAGTGCCCTCGATAGCAGCCTTCTCGTGTCGTCGATTCTTGTTCTTCTCATCATCAATCGGTAAGCGGCTGGGTATCGCACGTAATGAGTATTGCTGAATTAAGGCAGAACCCCCGAGGAGGGGCTTGTCCAGATGGTCAAGGAACACCGATGAAGTTAGATGCGCTCGGATGCGCATGCGAGCCGAACAACCAGGAAGCCCTGGAATTGAATTGTGATGAAAACGTTGATAGTACAGAACCCCACAATTCAAACCGCAGGCGTTACGTCTGATGAACACCGTGCCGGTTGTGGCCTCCCCATTACGTTTCTACCGACGGCACATCTCGCGTGAAGGGCCAGCCCTTCAGCGCCAGGTCGAGCGCGCATAGAAGGTCTTCGTAAAGAGGCATGCAGCCAACGCCGCATGCGCCAAGTGCGGCTGTTCCGCAGAGTTCAAGGAGCCGGCAAGCTGGCGATCCAGTGGCGGAGTTTCCTCAGCTCCGACCTTGAAGGAACTTCTGCCCGCACTATGGGGTTCTGTAGCCGCGTGGAGCTGCTCCTGAGTCTGCCGAACGACGGCATGCTGTAATCGCCCGTTGATTTCACACCCGCCCGGTTCTCGTTGCTGCCTGTCTGCCAGATGTGCACTATCATCAAGATGGCATATTCGGCAAACGCCGTATCGTCTCACAGAGAAGTTCTCGATGTCACCGCTGAATCATCGATGTGAAACGACCGGTATGAAGTTCCGATGGGTTTCTGCGCAACACGTCTGTGTATATGTGTGTCGCCTCGGAGTTGAGCTTTCCTAGCTGTAGTCCCCACAACATCTGCCAGTCGAACGCTAGTGAACTTCGCAATGACAACTCCAGAATCATCATTCTCCCGTGCGTTTACTAGATAGACCTCGATTGAGCACACCATCATTCGCCCCCCGAGATAGAAGAAGCCGCAGACAGATACCGTGCCATCCTGTCGGATGCAGCGCTGGAGGTGCACCGATGCGACGAGGCGCTCCTTCGCGCCCTCCAAGCCAGTATGTTCTTTACATTATTGAATGTTGAATGAACTGTTAATAGACGTTCATCAGACCCACTCAACGCGGACGATGTCTTAGCCGCTATGCAAGCCATGAGCAGCGCAAGCCATGCAGAGCGCGAAGCGCAGCGTCAGGAACTCGACGCCCTATGGGCGGAGCTCATTCCCGCCCTTAAGACTTCTATCGGAGAACTTCAACATTCGCCTCAAAGCGTGAGTTCCAATGTCCGATATTCCCCATTCCCTCGATGAAGTGATCTGAATTAAATCAAGGTCCGTTCCGCGCAACTCCGGGAAGCGTTCACCGAGATACTGGCTATATTACCGGCCGCCCATGAGGGTAGTACCACTGAGGTAGGTCGAATGTTGCGTGTCAATTGTTTACCGCCCCGATGTAACCGTCACGCTAACGCAGATCAAGCGCCAGTTAGACTCTGCTAGCCAACCTGAGGCATTAGCGGTTATTCGATCAACGGAGTTCTCGTCCACCCCCTAAGCTCGTAACACCGATCTCAAGAGCGGAAGGTATGTCGTGGTGGCTGAGCAGTGCACCGTCAGCACGTAAACTAATTTTACTGCACCTACTTTGATGCAGTTGAAGACCCTAGTACTGGCGGAGATATGGATCCGGCCTAGAAAGCTTCGTTCTCGAGTCAATCAGTGGTGAGATTCTTAGTTGTCATATCACGCCTGTCTCAGCTGCCAGTTCTTTTTTCTGCAAAAACATTTGTCTTTGACATACATCTACGCACATGAGATAGTGATGGTCGCGCAGAGAATTGCACGGCTGTCCGTCGTGACGCGCCCTCCGTGTTCATACGCGATCGCCTGAGTTGTGGTCTATGCGAGGCTTGAAGCTTGACGATGCGGCTTGCCTGCACCGTCGAACTGCCGCGTTTCATAGAAGCGGCTCCATCCTTGTCGGGAGTTCTTCGATGGGTCGGCGATGTCATCATCGGACGCTCCGACATTATGACGCTGTCGTCAGCCAATACGCACGCAGTTGCCGCGGGGATTGCTGCCTCACGGCCCCATTGCTGAGCCGGCGAGGTCCGGTGTTTAGCTTGGGAGTGACGCCGCGAGTCCATGCGGATGTAACAAAATGGTTCCGAGTGTTCCGTATGTTTTGCCGACTAGCCTCATCGCCGATGTGCGGTGATCGGCGACAATGTGAGCGCATTCCCTGGCCCAGGAGGCGTCACCAGCATGCGAGGATAGGTTACGGTGCATCGACGGTCTTTCAATCCGACGACAAGAAATACCCAAAAAGTTTGTACGTGTGAACTCTATCCATTTCCGAGCTATAAAGCTGCTCATGTTATGGACCCTACCCGCGATTTACCATGTCTATCACTCCCGCCGATAACAGCGACAAGCGCTCGCACGACACGGCTGAACTAGGTGGGCACTCCTTTCTGTCGACTGGTGTCAAGGATGTTTGACAAATTGTGCAGTCGGTGCAATTCGCGAGCTCGAGGCTGCTTTCGAGCATGCGGCTAAAAGAGTAGAACTGCAGCTCGTTACAATCAACAACACGCTACAATCGTTGTCGTTCGGCGAAAGAACCCAACCCGAGCTTGCGACGTTCGGCAGTGAGTTAACACTAATGCAGAACATCGTGCGAATGGAGATGAGGACCGCCGACATCACGCTCAAGCAAGGGCTGAAGTCCTTGCTCGAAAGCATCAACGCCGCCGGTATGTTGTCAAACCGCCGAAACACCGCTGCTGCTCACAAGCTGCTCAACAAGCTCGCGTCGATGACCTCTCCGTTTAGCCACGGCTCCCCGTTGTCTCAGTTACGTTTGCTCGTCACAACAATATTCCCTTGCCTGCCAAATTTGCGTGGCGGGTTGATCGCCACTACTTGTACCAGAAGTGCTGTACCCTGATTGCATGATCCTGGTCTTGAAGACCCACCGTGTGAAGAATGTGAATGCGTTTACATCAGAGCTATACATACGTGGCGATAGGGAAGTTCGGACGCAGGCCTCGTCAGACGCGAAAAGAAGCCGTCTTACGAAGGAATGGGCGTGAAGACCCCTGTATAGTCTCTGTGAACAGGGTAAGGCAAGAGTGTACCACGCTACAAATCTTAGTGTCGTTGCACTCGGCAATCGAGTCTAGCGGTGCATATGGGAAAGTAGGTTTGCTTGGTACAGATGAGACGATTGCGGTGTTCATTTCTGCGCGGTCTGAAGTCTGCTTCCTCTCCGTCTCTGCGCGTATATTCAGCGTTACGACAGGCTGGGTTAAGTGTGAAGCCGACCTACGTCTTACAAAAGCCGAACCATTGGCACTAACACGCTCAGGTGTTCTTAGCCCCAGCGGTCTTCTGATGCAAATGCGGCGACCACGTTCGATCCCGGGCGATGCCGTGCTGAGCGGGCTATTCGGAGACGCCAGACGCAGCTGGGGATACCGCTGGTTTCGGAGACTCCGGCGAATATAATATTGTAAGTCCGGGTCTTCGTGTGCCGCCTACAGGAGGAGAAGCTCCGGTGGATGCTGCTGTGAGTTCTTTGTTGAATAGCTGAATCTGTCCGCGAGCTGTCCGAAACGCCGGGCCATCAGGGGCGGTCCACCGGATCTCTCCAAACTCTAACTTTGAGATAGTGCGGAGGGAATTTGAAAGCTTGGCAATTTTTGCTGTTCATCATTCATCAACGGCGCGGATTCCGCCGATCGATTATATCTGTCCGAACCCGTGGTACTACTGGGTGGTCCCCACCATGGTTCCAGTTCAACTCGCTGCGTTTGATTGGAATAAGGCGGACGCGGACGTCTGCGTCGGGTATCTTCGCGCAATCATGCTCCATAAAGGCGACGACGTAGGACCCATCATCGACATACTCAATCAGATAGATGACTCAGGACGACTGCCCGCCATTCATACATTCCCATCTCGAGACGCACTGCTGAAACTCTCTTGGCCAGCGATTTATGGGCTCTCCTTGTTCGCTTCGAGGCGTGACATCTATGTAGGGCGCCTCTTTCTAGTCATGCGCATGATGTATAACAGGGCTTTCCGACAGGTGTTTGCGAAGGCCATGGAGTCGATCTGGCTCGTGTACTTCCTGCACAGTCTTCGATTTCAGGCGGTGGGCCGACATTTATTCTTTGACACGAGCACCACCAGTTACAGACCGGAGGATCTCCGCTTGGGACGCCATATCGCCGAGGAACTCGGGCCAGTTGATCTCGTTGTCAGCCGCATGTACGCCATCTGGATGGAAGAGCGCGGTTATCCGGGGATGGGGCATGGGATGGATAACGACTGGGTAATCAACATTTCCAACCTATGCTTTCGCATCACATCTACTTTGAGGTATCGCCACATGTGCGTTATCGTGTCATCTCAGTTCGACTTATAGGCTCACCATCTGTTAGGGAGAGCGGACAAGAGCGGGTGGAGTTCTTCCGCCAGGTCAGGAACCATAGCCTAGCCGGGGATAAGCGGTTGGCGTTCATTCTGGCTGCGATTCACTGGAAAACAAGTTCCGACCTACAGAACAAAATCGACACTCTCAACGTAGCCTTCGAGGTGACGCCACCTCTCGCAGGTGCATGCGTACAGTCGTTGTTCATTGTCAGCCTCTTTGGCCACTCGACGATTTCCCACGGACGGTATGAAGCGTTGCCTATTCCTGTCAGAGTGGCGATCCGTCCACCGACCGATATCTGGCCCGAGCTCCAAAAAGTCTGTGTCTGGTGCGGCGAGCTTAGTTCGAAAGTGTGCGGGGCATGTCAGCGCATCAGGTACTGTAGTCGCGATTGCCAGACGGCGTACGTGTCCCAATGTCTGGGCGCCATTTATGCATCGTTGACCTTCGTCGCAGGCACTGGCGTGAATCACACAAACCGGCCTGCTCGACCTACAAATACCTACCACGCGCCCTACCTATGCCTGAAAACGCCGCGTAGATACCACAAACCTTAGCGATCGTCTATTATTGGAAAGGCGATTCATGCGTCGGGTTGTGATGGGTAGTCGCGATGTGAGCTCGCTGACATAGTATGATGAGAGCGGCGCTTGAGCTCTTGCTATTGTGTTATATGGGCCGATATCGCCCAATGCGATCCGTTACCTATCTGAGGTCGTCTTCATCCAGGTGTTGCCACTTATAACGAGATACTATGAATGCAAAGGGGCCCGTGTGGCCGCTCGCCTCGCAAAGCGAATTGTGAATGCTGAGCGGTAGGGACCGCCATTGAGTCGCTATATGCCAAGACACGGCTGCAAACTGATAAGCGTGTAGGGAATAATTACCGTCGGAGTACACCTTGGGGAGAGCGCGTGATCCGGCACCCCTCAAGATGGCGACTGCAGCATGTACAAAGTGCCGGCTCAGCCTGTTCATCCTGCATCCAGGTGCTTGTTGAAGATAGAGTAGAGCGATATTCTCGAGTGAATAGGCCGAGGGATCGGACACCCTGGATATAGAAGGCGGGGGAAGAGGCATAGGGACGTAGAAGGCACACTGGTGGTATTATAGAGCACGGAGAATGCGCAAAGGAGAACATACAATAAATAGTAGCGCGGTAATGATATTGACACTGGGTTCTCCTGTCTCCTGGTGCTATACGGATGGCGCGTTGACGCGCCTGCGCCACGGAACCTCGGCCTGAGAACTGTGCTGACACGTTAGATGAGAAGGTTCGAGTGCTGCGCAAGTAACACACCCCCGGTCTTGCAATACTGTACCTCTGAGCTGAGCATGGCACACTGCGATCCCAGAACGTAAAACGCAGCTACTCCGTTTTATGTAATCAGGGAAGCCAGACTAATAGCACAGGCGCTTCAAGTCCTCTCATTCCAAATCACGACAATTGGTCGTGCTCGTGATATAGCTCAATCGTGATACCACACGAGAGGCGAGACAGAGCTAGACGCATGGACCTGTAGGAAAACCCATTCGTAACGCCCGACCACTGACAGCACCCGGACGAACTAGCGTGCCGCAAGAGGTTACCTCAAAGGCAACATGGCAGACCAAGTTGATCGGCGGTTCGCTCAGCCTTCCTGAAAGGAGCGCGTGGGACACGGACATGAAATCTACAAGCATTTGCGGAGTGAGCAAGCGCGGGTGCGGGCGATCGCTTGCGCAATTCTGACCTGTTCAAACGTTCATGGGTGAGATGATTCGCGGGAGGGTGAAGTTATCAGAAAGCCGTAGCGCTTACATCGGCACGCGTATCTTGAGGGGTAGTCTTCACAGCACCGGCCTCCAGCGGAGAAGGATGGCAAGTTTTGCAATCATGATGGCGGAAGGAAAGGTGAAGGCGAAGCATCAGATGCCGGAATTGAACTCGCGCGTGTTTACACGACGCCGGCGCTTGATAAGACTTCCTCCCCGTCGGCCCGCTCATGCCTCTCGGGATCATGGTCTCCAACAACATACTGTCGACGTTCTTGTTGGCGCGCCGGCTCAAAGGTTCCCTTACTTCTGGACATACGCGTGCAGGAGCTTGATGAGTCGGCGTTGGCCTCGAGCGTGCAATCCACCGTCAGACGCACTTTCATCATCAGCATCTGTTGATGCCATTGTATATCACCTGGAGTGAGTTCGCAGGATCTTCGCCGCTCTACTCCCTCGTGCTCTCACACTCTCCGAGCTTGTGCGACCATCACTCGCACAATCGACTTCTGGCAGCGCGGTTGACCTTGAATGCAAGCAGACGCTACTCTTCGTGTACGCGTATATATAGACCTCATCCTCAGCACTCTCCGCGGCGTCTGTGTTTGTGTACACTTCAGCGGCCGCTAGTCAGGTCTCACTGTTCACCCCTCAACAATGGCACCTACTCATGTGCAGATTTCTGACCGCAATTCACCCGCGGAGTACTCGAGGGCCGTCGAGATGATTCGCAGCGTGGAGAGCCCGCCGAGGACAGATCTAGGTCGGCTGATCCATCTCTTACGGTCCTTCACAACGCTTTCCGATGATCGAATTTTGCGGCCACGGGCGCCACAGTATCCCGACAAGGCCACGTTAGAAGAACTGGTGACATGCGCCATTGGGCAAATTGACGGAAGGTCTTTGGAATGGAAGGTGCGCCGATTTATGCGTATAGTTCATCGCACAAGGCTCAAATCATCTATATAGGCCGTCGCGCGCGCCTTACCGGTTGTGCTAACACTGTACGAGCTCTATAGTATGCGCGTCGATGCCCTTGCAGCATACAACTCCAAGCTACCCGAGACCGCCGGAGTCCTTCATACGCCCGCAAATATCGCTCAGAACGTACTGCCGTCAGACCTATATAATGCAAAGGATCGCGTTCGACTTCTGCGCCCCATTGATAACCTCATTACCTACTTTTACGACGCCCTCAATCGCGGTGATCTCAATCAATCCGTGACACCCTACGTTGTCAGTTTCGCGTATCAAGTCGCATCGCAATATGGCCCCGCTCAAGAGTACGTCGCGAAGTATCCATTTTTATCCTGCTCGAGCCATATTTACAGGGCCCATCTAGACTCAGTCAAGAGACGAGCACAGCTTTTTTGCAGGGGTTGGTTCGTCAGGATTCGCACAAGCTCCTGGCATTCGTGCTTCTGGCCACGGAGTTTGACTTTCCGATAGATGTCATAACCCCCACAGACGTTCTACGATGGGCGGAGGCCACCACAAGCCCGCACGTGGCCGCTCAAGAACAGGGCAGCTTTATTCGCCGCCTGTTTCCCTCGAATAAATTCAACCGCGCGCGGTACCTCGAACTTCGTGCACACAGCCAGTTCGCCATTCGGCGACCCCCTTATGATGTCTGGCCCTCCTATCGGGGATGCTGTCTGGCTTGTGGGGTTTCAGGTGCGCGCTATACGTGCACGCGCTGTCAACGTGTGTCCTATTGCGGCCCTAACTGCCAGAAATGGTCAGTCGTAACACCGTCAACTTGCAGGGTCATCTTTCACTGATCAATCACGGCAGGCACTGGGATGCTTCTCATAAGATAGCATGTGGTATCTATAGACTTACAGGTGCCTGAATGTTCATCAGTCTTGCTCCTGACTTGCGCGTAGTACGATACTCGATCTCAATGGGCGCACATTTCATCGTTGATTTCAAGTGATGACGGTGCACTTTGCGTGAGACCTCGACCCGTTGAAGTTACCTCCAGGTGGGTCTGATGATCAAGTTCGGGTGAAATGAACACATCAAGTGTCCGCTCGCAGGCTTCGCTTCGATCCCCACTGACACCGGTGTCTGACTTAAACCTGTGAGCACCGCCACGAAATCTGCGATACGTGTTGCGCGTTGAACACGAGTACAGTCCCGTACGAACGGCTTACTCTGCATCCTCACCATAGTCAGACCATATACATGTTGCAAGACGCCTCTCGGTGTGGTAAGCCAGCTCCAAGAAGGGTGTATATTAGCAGGTGTGAAAGACGCCAGGAGCAACAAAGGAGACCAACAGAGCAGCGTGGCGACGTGCCACTGTGCCCAGCCATAGCGGAGTACCGGCAGTAAATGGCTGAGGGTGCTTCGGCGCTATCAGATCGTCCCCAAGCATACAGATGGCGCTTGTCTCTCACTTCACACTCTCACACCACCCAGAGGCAGCGCACGACCAGTAACTGGCATCCTCGCACTTGATCCGGCTGTCATATCTCGCCGAGATGGTTCACAACGCCACCATCGAGGTAGGAGGCGCTCGCACAGGCAAGGGCTTCAGTGTATCTGGTCTGATTTGGCATTGAACTCGTGCTATCAAATTCACAGGTTCTCGGCCAAGGCGTGAAGGTGGTCGCTATCTGTGCCTTAGGTGAGCCCAGACGTGACGCCGGATTCCGTCAAGCCAGACATCTTGCCTCGCAACGCGTAATGTTGAATAAACAGGTGCAAACGGCTCCTGTCGCGCGCAGACAAACGTACGATGTCTGGCACAACGCGTCAAGGACTTCGCCGCTGCGCCTCCGCCTCGGTCAGTCACACGCCCATACAACCCCGCCCCCTGTACCGGATGTCGCTATGGGCTAATCCACGGACGGTGATACTGCGCCGCTTGCAACCTTCTCACCCTACGGACGTCGATGTCCAGCCTGGCGTTGGCCCGCTTGAAGACGATTTCGTGGTGCTGCCTGATCTCGTGGTGCCCCTTGCTGGTCACGAAGGGAGACCCCCCTGCATGGGCGGAGTTGAACGAGGTGTTGGCGCGCGCGAGTGGTCAGGCTGACCGTCGTGTGGCAATGGAGGAGGATGCAGAGGCCCGAGAGGAAAAGAGGAAGAGGGGGATAATGTAGAGGGGGACAACAATTTGGAGGGTGCGATGCCAACGACGGTGTTGGTTTTCTGCAACATATACTGGACTACTTGGGTCTACAGGACGAGGACAAGATAGTGAATAGATCACCGCCACAACCCGACGCCGTCTTCCTACCACCAGCTCTGCGAAGGAACACCACTCCCTCCCGAGGAGGAGCTAACACCCCAAAAAGCCGCCACCGTCACCACCGCTCAAGCGCCAGACCGAGCTCTATCCCAGGATAGCGGAAGGTAGCTTGACGTGCATGAAGTTCCGAGGGAATCGCCTGCGGGGTACGAAGCATATCGGCCAGGAGACCATACCCCTTCCATGCGACGCTCTCACCCCATCCTCGCCGCGTACGTTCGCGACTGCCCAGTACAAGTCCTCATTGCCAGCGTCAAGCACGGCACTTGCGCGAAGGGCTCCTCGACTCGTCGCTGTACGGCGCCCTGCAACCCTATTAGCTCAGAAGTATCGACGGCATCGCACACGCTCTCTCCCTCGCTGACGCCGAGCCGTCATCGCCTTTGTGCAGGCGCGTCAAGAGGCCGACAGCAAGCTGGCGGTTCTGAGCCTATATCTATATCGCGCACACACCTGACATATTACCCCAGCTATGCACATACACGAGCAATGCTGTGTGAAGGATAGAACAGCCATGTACTGTGTACGATCGGATACAATAGTCTGCAAAGAAGTAGAGCATAGAGACAGCACATGGAAACTTCTTGATGAGCGACGCGTCGATGCGTCGAAGGATCTCTTTCGCCTAGCAAGGTGGACACGTGATATTGACACGATCGCTCCCGAGGCTCCCGCCAACCTTGTTCGCGAGCGCAGGTAGCGACGCAGCGAATACCGGCGGAAGTTCCTTGGTGGCCATGTCGCCTAGCGTATTGACATTCTCGACGTTCGGTGCCTGGTACGAGGTGAGAACTGCGAAGTATAAAAGTCGCATCGCCGACTGTACGCGTTGGCCAGTACTACCGATTCGAATACGAGGATATGGAATACACACATTCACCGACATGAAATCTTACAACATCAGGCGCGAGCGCAACCGGCGCAAAGGGAGTCCCCTCTTCCCCCACACTCGCCTCCCTCCATCGCCCTCCTGCACGCCCAGCCCGCTCCTGAGCATAATCTCCCCCGACAGCGGCCACACGTAATTGACAATGTACCTGAAATTAGCTTTCATACTTCCTCATGCATGAGTTGGTCGTACTACGCACCGGACGCAGCGGCGTCTGAGAGCTCGTGGGAGTAGGTTGCGTTTCGAGTTCTCAAAGCCGCTAGATTCGCAAAGCGCACGAAGGAACCGAGACGGGATGCACAGACTGTGCCCAGTGTCAGATATGTCTGCAAAATCATCAGCTCCAACACTTATGAGGAAAAGGGTAGGACTAACCTCGAGTGCAACATCCCCAACAAGCGTCAGTCCATTCTCGCTCGGAAGTCCCAAGTGAGGATCAAAGCGGCGAGATTGCAAGCCGCCGATCTTGGCGGAGACGAGTTCGACGATCACATGGAGCGATACAAGGAGTCTGAACGCGAGGGCGTTGATGTATGTGCGCACAGCAGCCTACACAACACTGTCAACACATAGTGAGAGGTGCTACAGAGAAGGGAATGGGAACACCTTTCTTGAGCGAAACATCCACGGCGGCTGGATCCGCCCTACCCAGCGCCTCCCCACTCCTAGCCTTCTTACTCGCAGGACTCTTCCTCACATCAATGTCCTACTAGCCTAGTTCTGCTTTCCTTGCTCGTAGCAACCTGCGCAGTCTTCTTCGACGCGAGGATGTCGACAACGACTTTCCTTCAGGCGTAGCCCACATCACCATCTCGTCTGAATTCAAAGCTTGAACACTTACTCGGCCCTCCCTCACTCCACTCACGGATTGTGTCGAGTACAACATTGATTTTCACGAACGCCAATACTCGCGGAGCCCTCAACCACCCTGTCACACTGTGACGCCAGCCCGTAAGCTGACGCACGCCGGGAACACCGGGGAGCAGTACGCGAGCGGCAGGCGGCGCGAAGGCGTCCTTGAACGGACCCGACGCGAGGGATCCGAGGCCTCACGGCCCCGGAGAGCAAGCTTCTCGCACGACGTATTCGTCGAACGAGCCCGGAGTACTCTAGGCGGCAGAGGCCGGTGCTCTTGCACTTGGCCGCCCGACAGGTACGTTGTCTTGAGGCTGAGATTGAGGGAGGGAGCCCTCCCTAGGTCTTGAGGAACGAGTCGAGAGAGGAATGAGATCAGATGAGATTGAGAGACGAGAGACGAGAGGAGAGAGACGAGGGAGAGAGGAAGAACAAGAAAAGAGAAAAGGACAAGAGAGAGAGTTGGTGGGTTGTGTAGTTGGTGGTTAGAGCGAACGCGCGTCGACGCGCGACTACATACGAACGTAACCCTAACGTAGGGGTAGTCGTCGGATGGGCGCGACAGCATAATAGGGTACGTAGCTACTATATACAGTAGATACCGTTTACACACACCCCATCGCCATCTACCTCAGATGCCTTGACAACCTCCGCGATTAAGACGTCGAGATATCGTCGAATGATCTTGGCAAAGTCGACACGCGCTCAACCGCAGAGGTCTGAACATCCCTGACAACTGGTGCTCGCGATAGACGGATGATGGGCGATAACGACGAACGGGACAGAAAGTATTTCACGTTCTTCGTCTAAAACAACTTCGCGGATGGCTGTTACGGTTAAGAGAAAGAGGAGAAGCCGAGCGTATAGTGGTGTCTTGAAGTCATGAACTTCCTCGAGGGCGAACATACGGGGGCGTGTGGCGTACATCCGATGGAACGAATTGAAGAACCAATCAACACCGCCCAATGCATCCTTTTTCACCGCAGGCTCACCACTAACAACTGCAAGCCTAGGCAGCGCAGAGCCAATTTGTCGTCATAGAGCGTCTGAGGTGTACAACTGGGAGTGCGACGTTGCACACTCGCCCTATGCGCGCGTATAATGCACATCGCTTCTGCCCTCCAGCTCTGATGATCCGCGCGATTGAATACTCCGCGAGAAGCTAACTCGGCTTTCCTCATAAGCCGCCGAGAGATGAGAGGACAGCGTTCTTAGAGGCTGCGTCGGTTTCAGACTCTGCGCGGCTGAGAGATCCAAGGAGCATTGCGGTTGCAAGAAGGGGTTTGAAGTTGGCGGCTCTGTCGGCTGTGGAGGAGGATTTGGCTTGTTTGGCTGTCTTAAGCGTGTTCTGAAAGACAGGGACAATGGCCTCTGCCAGGGCCTGCGCGGACGGGGTAGGGGGCGTATGGAGCGTCCAAAAGCCTCGGCAACAAGACCGCAGACGCTTGTCGACTCGCAGACTTCGTACTCCCCATCTCCTTCTCAACCACCTTCGCCCCTCCTTCTCCTTCAGCTTTCCCTCCTCCAAAAAAGGACGAAAGCGAGGTGGAGCGCTATACTGCGCACGAGGGTGGCAGAGGGGCCCTTAGACAGAATAGATGCCGGTGGATGCCATTAGGGGGTGAATCGAGGAGCTGCTGGATGAGTGTCGGTGGGTCGCTGCGTGCGGTGCGGACGAGAGGTGCTAGACAGTCGCTGACGGCCACCTGCACCTGCTCGCTGGGCGTCTTGAGCGTGTCGAAGAGCCGCGCCACGGTACTCGGCAACCGCTTACCGCCCTCTTCCAGGTGCGTCGCCACCCTTCCAACGAACACGACAACGGCCTCCTGCACATAACCCGCGCTCTCGCTCGCCGGATGACTCCGCGCCGAATGTCCCTCAAACATCCCGATCAGTTCCTGCTTCGATCCATGCACGTCGACGGCCGCCGTACGCGCTTCGGGCGTTTCCCTCCTCACATCCGCATGCCGATCGCCCAGCGCGCCAGGCTCGTCGATGAGGAACTAGAACAGCGGTACCACATCTCCCTCTGCCAACAACGTCGTCACTGCGACCAGAGCGCCGGCCAGCACTGCGCGTGCGGCTCACGAATCGGCGCGTTCCAGGGAGCCCTCGACAAACATCCCGTACTGATCCAACTCAGGCGTGATAACCTGCGCCCACACGACGTACATACTCTTGATCCCCCCACCGCATTGCGGACGCTCGCCGGCCAATGTTCGACAGCTTCCGCTAGAGCCTATGCTGCGCCTGTACGGACGTGGATGACGTCTAGCTCGAGGAACGTGAGCGATGAACGCGAGTAGTCCGCTGGAACGTCCTGCTCGTTATCGTCCCACATCCCGGAAGCCATCGGTCGTTGTCACGTCTTCGTCTGAACATGCAACGAGTCGCGCCGGAGCCAACTCGTGTTCTGTGAGGTCGAGCGAGGCGAGAGCTTGCAAACATGCTGTGGGGGTGTGCGCTTCTTGTACCAGTGTGCCTTGCAAGAGCACATCGGCTTCGGACCGAGTCAGTGAGGGTGAAGAAGGGATGGCTTCGCCTCGAGCTACGAGCGACGAAGAAGGATCTTTCGCGAGACAAAGCTGAGTGCGCATGACATGCAGAACGGCCGTGATGGTATGAACGCGTGGGAATACCGTGTCGCCGACTGTATCCCACCAACTCCGGGTCAGTGTCGAGAGAGGAAGAGACTGGAGGAAACACGCACATTCGCCCAAGTTGGATTTGACCACATCAAGCGCAAGCTCGACCTGCTCGAACGGGACTGCCCTCTTCGCCGCTCTTGCCTCTTCCATTTATCGTCTTGAGCGCCCACGCCATCACCTCACCCAACAGCGACCACACAAATCTAACAGCACGTCATTATACCAGCTTCCATACATTCCGATGCACAAGTTTGTCGTTCTACACACCCGAACGCGGCCGCGTCCAAAGGAGCCTGCTCAGCCGTCGCGCACACCGATACAACACCTTCCTCACGAGCGCTCCTAGAGGCTCAGCGGCCAGCACCTCCGCGACACTCACGCCTTGAGTCCTCAAAGCCGCGAGACCCGCAAAACGGGCGAAGGGACCGAGACGCGATGCGTAGACTGCGCCGGGTGCAAAATACGCCTATCGAGTTCATCAACATCAGTGCTACAATGATGGGGAGAGGACGGAAGGAAGAGGCGCACCTCGTACCTCAAGCGCAGCGTCTCCAATGAGAGTTCGTCCGTTCTCACTGAAGAATCAGAGCGGCGAGCGCAGGCGCGTGAGATTGTACACCGTCAATCTTCACGTTCACGAGTTCGAGGACTGTACGAAGCAATGCGAGTAGTCTGTGCGCGTGAGCGTTGATGCGTGCGCGGATGGCAATATACATGTACAACACCAATCAGCTCATGCTAGAAGTTGTATCGAGAAGGGAGGTAGACGCACCTCTATCTTGAGCTGAGCATCCACAACCGTCTGGTCCACTTTGGACAGCGCTTTCCGGTTCCGGCCTTCTTGTTCGCAGAACTTTTCCGGACCTCCGCATCCCATTTGTCCAGCTCCGCGCCTTTTCCCTTGAACCTGGCCACGGTGGCGTGCTTCTTAGCCGCCAGAACTACGTCATCATCATGAGTTTGGCGATACAGATAGATAGAGGAGAAGAGACGCACCGTCGATGAACGTTTCGCCGTCGGCTGTCGACCACATGCCCATCGTCACAGCCCTGACGCTCGCTCCCCACTCATCGAGCTCCTCGCCAACTCTCTTCCTGATCTTCGCAAGTACGATGGCACCCTGTACGAACGCCAACACGCTCTGCGTTCTCTTCTCAACCCCGCCGCCTCCATCCCTTCGCTCCCTTCTTCGAACGCCCTGTCCACTTTCAGAAAAAACGCGTCAACATATTGTCGGACAACTTTCGCAGGATCAACGGATCTATCCATGCTTGCCGACTCGTGATGGAGGGGTGATGCGCTAGATCGACGTACAAGACGAGGGGCGTCTCGCTTTCGTTGCGTAAGACAACGTCACGGATGGACAAAACTGGTGAGAGGAAGAGGAGGAGGCGAGAATAGGGCGGTGTCTGGTCCTTAACGTCGTCTTCTGCCACAACGTTCTTCTTCGACTGGGACTGGGGGAGATGTGTGGTGTATCCCACAAGCGCGTCGTGCACCTCCGAAGCAAATGTGCGCGGGAACAGCCTGACCAATCTGTCCACGCCGCCCAGTACCTCTTTCCTCAACCCCGGCTCTCTCGAGTCCACACTCAGACTGAACAGTGCGCTCCCAAGCTGTTGCCGCAGCGTATTCGAGGGGTCCAGCTCGGCATGTGAGCTTACACCCGCACCCTCAAGCGCGCACAGCGCATCCTCCCCTCCTGCCACAGCGATACGCGCGACGGGGTTCTCCGCGAGAAGCCAGCTCGGTTTGCCTCCGCTGCCGCCGAGAGCCGAGAGAACGGTGTTCTTCGATACGGCGTCCGACGTAGATTCGGAGCGGGAGAGAGGACCGAGGAGTGTAGCGGATGCGAGGAGTACTTCGAGTTAATCGCTTGTATCGGTTATACAATATGGTTTAGCCGCAGCGGCGTTCCCGAGAACGTTCTCGAGCGCCGGGAGAGCGGTCTTTGCTTGGGTGGTGTAGACAGCGTATGAACCCTCCAAACTGCCTCCGCAACAAACACACCCCAAACGCCCGTCGACTCGCAGGCTTCGTACTTCCCACCGTCTTCTCGACCACCTTCGCGCTATCTTCCAGCTCTCCATCCTGAGACGAAGCACGAATGCGAGGTCGTGCGCTAGACCGCGCGCGAGGGGCCTTTGGAGAGGATGGATATGCCGGTGGATGTTATGTGTGGACTGAGGGTGGGCGAGGGTGTTAGGGGGTTGAGCATCGTGTATAATGTCGGCTTATCGGGTCCCGCTTTGCCCCCAAGAACGCGAGGAGGCCCGTTGCGGCTTTCCCGCGGTTGGAGTACGACACCCTTGGTTGTGCATCGGCATTGGCATCGGAGGACGAGCACGAGCACGAGCACGAGCACGAGGACGAAGGTGATGGTGATGGTGAGACGAGAACGGTAATAAGACGCGTGGCGGTCGTGCGAACTGTGGCGTTGGCTGACTCCGTTGATTCGAGTGTGTGCGTGAGGAGGCGGGCGAATGCCGGGCTCGGCAAAGAATGGTTGTATGCCAGGATGTATGCGAGCACTGTATCGTGATATATCAGTATGACTGTTCAGTTGAGAGAGTGTAAAGGTGACGCACCGTCCAAAACGGCCTCGAGGCTCTAAAGCAGACTCTTATCCGCAGCGCTCAATACGCCCTCCAAATCCTCAGGTCCAAGCGTGCCTACGAAAGTCTTCAACGAGTCAAGTACGTGCGCCGGTACGGGGCGTACAGGCGCCCAGTACACTTGTGGTGTATATGCCGAGCAACGCTCTCTTCTTTTCGGCCGGGAGGTCGGTCCGGTTCTCGATTGCAATGCACAGTGAAGGGAGAGCGGAGAGGCCGAGCGAGCCTTTTGCCGATGTGGGCAGGGTGTCGAGGGCGTGGTCTAGCTATGCGGGTGCCTATATGCTATATCAGTATATGCAATGTACTAGATTGAGTTGGAGATACGCACGGATCGCAAAGCCCACCCAACCCTCCCCACC